TTACATGGTTGAATGCTGTTACTTTCCATTATGTAACATTAAGTTACATACTTAACGCAAAATTACATGGGTTAGGTTAAGGCAAGTAAATTTATGTAGGTTAGGTTTACGAAAAGAAACATGGTTGGGCATCGTCATGTACACACTTAACGTAAAGTTACATACTTAGGGTAAAGTTACGTGAGTTAGGTTTAGGCAGGGAAAGTTACGTAGTTTTGGTTTATGAAAAGTAATATGGTTGGGCATTGTCATGTACATACTTAATGTAAAGTTACGTACTTAACTTAAAGTTGTGTGGGTCAGGTTTAGGCAAGCAAAGCTACGTATGTTAGGTTTAGGAAAAGAAATATGGTTGGGTGTCATCATTTACATGCTTAACGTTAAGTTACATACTTAAAGTAAAGTTATGTGGGCTAAGTTTAGGAGAGTAATGTTACGTAAGTTAGGTTTAGAAAAAGAAACATGGTTGGGCGTCATCATTTATGTACTTAACGTTAAGCTACATACTTAATGTAAAGTTACATGAGTTTAGGCAAGTAAATGTATATAGGTTAGCTTTATGAAAAGAAACATCGTTGGACATTATCACCTACACTTACCAGTAAGTTGCATACTTAATATGAAGTTGGAAAGAAACATAGTTGGCCATTGTCATGTAAGCACTTAAAGTTACGTATTTAATGTAAAGTTCCATAGATTAGGTTTCGGCAAGTAAAGTTATGTAGGTTGGGTTTTGGAACAGAAACATGGTGATGACGAATCTCAAAATAACTCACACTTCACTTGGTTTCACACAGGATGCGAACGCCAATCTTCTTGGAGAATGTCCTGTGTTTATTTGACCCAGCCACTACCCTAACCCTGCTTATATGGACTGTGTTAGCATATTGGTCATGTGATTGCAGCCTTCCCAAATGCATGGGTTATATACGAATCTGGATGCATTACTTTTCATATGTATACTGTAGGTATGAACAGTGCATGAGAACAGCCTGACGTGTAATAACCATAACACTGTACCATTATCCTGGAGGGAACAGCAGATATTACTAATAAAATTAGTGGTGGCTCTATTCCAGTGGTTTAGGTGAACGACACCAGGACTATGGAAATGACACACCTAAGTGGAATGTAGCCATTATGTTATGAAATGGATGCAATGTGGTGCATCCTTACTTTTTGAAACACCTAAAGTAACACTATTTTTTTGCATTTTTGGACACTGCACTTACTTAACTGTCAAAATGTGTGTGCCTCCGTATTTTAAATGACAGTGGTCTCATCTTGCTGAACAAATGTCAGACAAATGAGATATGAAACATCTAAGCTCCTGTGCAACATGCATTCACTGAAGCTGCCCTCTGTAACAGGTCCGTTTGACAAGTTTGCACTTTACAGTCAAACCTGCAAGCAGAAGTCTCAACACCCACATGAAAGTTGTGATGACATCCTGGTTTATTTCAGCAGATGAATCAGCTGCTGTGACAGAAACCAGACTGAGGAATCTTTCTTCCACTGCAGCTGACAGAAAGATATACAATTCTTGATAAATGTCTATGTCTGTACAGTATGTGTGTGTTTGCTTGCTCGTTTAAGGTTCATTATATGGATGGTCACACTAATGCAAGTATTTTAAATGGCCATGCACAGCTGGAAATGATCTCACTTCTACAAGGATGAGTCCATAAAATGTTAATTTCCACATGGCCAATGATTCTCCCTCCACCATCGCAAGCCAGAGCACATGAAAAAAAGTCTACCTTGGTAGATTGTCATCTACCAGAAAACCACATGACAATAAGTGATTATGTTTTTTACAGCGTTTCAGAGATGACGCTCAGCTGTAGCCGGAGGTGGTACATTGTGGTGCGTGCACACATGCACAGGGAATAATCAGGTTTTCAGGAGTGTACATCTTATTAAAATCCTTAGATAAACACATGCAAAGCACACAAGACAAACATGTAAAGGAGCCCTTGGCTTTGTTGTTTTACTATGAGACCTGGGAAATACAGCTCCCCTTGTGACAGGCCTCATGCCATTTAAACTTAAACAGAAAAATGCTTTACTGTTTTTACTACACGTCATTGTACCTTTCTGTGTCAAAGCTCTTTTAAAAAATGAATGAAAATGTCATGTGATCATGTTCATGATCTTTGGACTGAGAATACAGACCAAATACAGAAAGTACAATTGACTACAATTACATGTGGCAAGGCAGCAGAGAATAGCTTTTCTTGAAATGGATATGTAAGAACGCTTTGAAGTTGGGTGATGATTTCAGTCTATCAAAGCGAATGTGTGGTGTGTGTGGCTTTTTTTCTTTTTTTAAACTTTGTATTCAAATGGTGGATTTCCTGTGCAGTCACTCAGTAGTGAGACTTTTACCATATAGGGATACAACTCAGAGGAGGGTTAGTGGGCAAAGGGAAGAGAAAAGAAGAACTAACAAGACTCACTTCTCAAGTCTCAACTTGCTGACAGCTGAATCAGTATAGAAGCATGAACACAGCTCACTTCGTAGTAATCAAGCCAAGAAGACTGTCTTTTATTGGAACATGTGCACATACACAGTCACATGTCAGTGAACCATGTGTATCGCCTGGTTCTGTCTGTACCTGCTTAAAACACTGGTGAGGAAACAGAGCAAGAGAGAGTGAAGAGAGCAAAGAGAATGAGATAGAGACTGATTACACCTAGAGGTTTTGCAACTGTGAAGCCAGAGGGCCATCTTTTCTTTTTTGTGTCAATTTACCCATTAATCTCAACAGTTACTTTGTTGTGTTGTAGGTGGAACCAAACGCAGGACACGACAAGGACGAAGGTGAACAGGTTTAATGCAAGGATTATAGTTGTGAAACTCTAAGTGAGATGACTGCCAAGATGTATTCCAAAGCGAAACACTGTTTGAGACCAACAAACAAGAACACCGGTTGTTTTTTTAATGTTTCCAGTGGTGCTTGTACCACCAAACGTGGGTGTTTTTAAGTGAGCCATCACTGCGCTTCCAGCAGCATTTGTGGCACTGAATGTGGGCATCTTTTAAGCGAGCCATTGCTGCATTTCCAGTGGTGTTTGTGCCACCAAATGTGGGTGTTTTTTTAGAGAGCTGTCATTGTGTTTCCAGCAGTGCTCGTAGCACTGAATTTGGATATTTTTTAGCGAGTTGTCATTACATCTCCAGCTGTGTTGGACTCACATTCTGTTTCCATGGGTTGTAATAAAACAAAAAAAAGGGTTTTAAATGTCTTTTTTTTAATTAAAATTTCAAAATCTAAAAATATTTTTGAACTTCGTGCTCTTTGCGTACAATGGGACTAGCCCCTGTTAGAATTTACCAGAAATACAACTCAAGTCAACTTTATTTATATAGCACCTTTCATACAAACATGCAGACCAGAGTGCTTCACATGGCAAAATTGGAATGGCACAGAGACAAGACAATAAAATATTAAAAAAGCAAACAAGCCAAAAGATGATTAAAACTCCATAGAAGAAAAAGAGGATAAATAAATAAATAAATAAAATAGAATAACTTAACTGAGTTTTGTCCATTATGTTGAACTCTGCACTCTTACATAATTTAGTTACACTGAATAGTGTCAGCACAAAGGCTTTTATTATCTATCTATATCCTATATGTTTACATGATGACCTGAACTCATTAAAAAAGGAATTAACGCTTCAGTTCTGCTGCAATCCTCAGATATCGCAGCTTGTAGAGCAGGAGTGTTGGAGACTCTGAAAGAACAAGTATCCTACAGCCAAGCTACAGTATGTTCTACAGATAAGTGTCAGCATGGCTGTCATACAAACAGAAGGAAAAGAGCAGCACTTTATAACACTGCAATCAGCAATTATATAGCTTAACTAATACACCTGTCTCATCATATGTAGGATGTAACTTTAAGAAGGGAGTGCTACAGAGATAAGGTCAACTTCATTCATTCAGAGTTATGCCCCAGTTTTGAACTTTGAAACTTATTTTCTGCACTCCAGACGACTTTGGTTCAGAAATGATTTTCCAGCTCTGTGCTCCATCATGCTGCCCACATCACTGGTATCCTGTTTACACCAGTCTGTTTACTCGGCGTGGGCAGATGGCTGCACGTCACCTTCACATTCAGCTGTGCCGACGTGGGTGCATCCACTGTCCTACAAGACTTCATTACAATGCATCACACCCAGCTCAGCGCACTCGCATGGTAAATCTTATGCCCTTAAAAGGCGCTTTTCAACCGCCTGCTGTCTCTGCAACGGAGCCCTGTCTCTCTTCTGTTACTCCTGTGCAGACTCTGCTGGTGAAAGGTGGGATAGGACTGTGAGATTACAGTTCCTCCTCATGTCCCTGTTGACAAGGGTTTTGCACAAGCTTACATGAGGTTTTTTACATGTAAAATAAGTTTTGGGATGAGAGATAAAATAAGGGAAATGAAGAATCAGTGATGTCATTAGACCAAAACTGACAATTTGTTTGGATTTACTGTTTATTTTCTGGAAAACAGGCCTTTACTGATGGCTAAAGATGGAGAGTAAGTGCAGGAGTAACCTCTAATTAAAACTAAATTGCAACAATAATAATATTTTTTAACCCCCCCCCCCTTTTATTGCTAAACAAATGGTTTTCTAAATGTTATTTTAAATATTTTGAGGTAATATTTTCGTAATATTTTGGTAACACAATGATAGTAAAGTGGCAGTTTATATGATCTCAAATTTTAATAAGTTTCTACACATACATTTCGTTTCTATGGTCATGTAGCCACTGTCTTTCTGGTGGATTGCTGTCTTAACTGCACTTTGCGGTTTAATACTGCAGCAGAGGCGTTTGACAGAAAGATAAAAACGCCATTGATTTTATATGTCAATTTCAATTTTACAAACCGTTGCGTTAATGAACACACCCCTTCTAAGCATCGTCCAATCCTCCTCGCCTCCCGACACCATGAACCAATCACAATGAAGCAGACGAACGTTCCCCTCATTTGATTGGCTACAATAAATGAACCAGGAAGTTTACAATTTCTGTAACTGTGTGCAAGATGGAAAGCTTACCTGCCGTTCTTTAAAAGGTTAGCGACACATTTAGCGATAATTTTGAAGTTGGTTGGCTTTGAGAACATCATGCACGTTATATTTTCATTACACTCAAAGCGCTTCATGTACAGTCTTTTGTGTAAGGATAAAGTAGTAATGCTGTGCTTTGCTAGCTAACGTTAGCCTATCATCCAGGGTCAATATGAGAAGTTCTGGAATTTAACCACCGAGACATTTATGGACCAGCCGTCTTTAACTAAACGTTGTGACAAACAACACTAAAAATATTTAACACATTAACGCTATATTTGATACTATTGCTGTATCTTTTGGACTTTAAAGACTATGGAAGTAATTTTAAGTGCAGTGGCATAAGGTTGGCTGAATTTTAGTACAGTATTTTGGTTATGGGTCAATCCTAGGAAAGAGTTAATGGCGATAAATCATTAACCATAACATTACACAGTTAAGCTAAAGCATACAGACTGTGAAACATGCTGAATCTGCTCCCTAGATCACTGGTTCCCAATCTGAGGATTGGGACCCTCCAGAGGGGCACAAGACACATCTGAGGGTTTGTCACACAGATTATGAAAAAATATAAAGGATGAAAGGTAAAGTTTGTAACATTAAAGGGGTTTTGGTGGCATCCAACAGTAAATTTCAGATTGCAATGTCATGTGATCATGTTCATGATCTTTGAACTGAGAATACAGACCAAATACAGAAAGTACAATTGACTACAATTACATGTGGCAAGGCAGCAGAGAATAGCTTTTCTTGAAATGGATTCCTTAGGATTCCTTCAGTGTTCATTGTTCAGGAGGTTTTTACAGAAACTGAATTATCTGCAGAGATTTCTTTCCAAAACAAACACATCAGCTGATTAAAACTGGTAAAAACACTGAATTAAGTAGATGAACTTTATAAATGAGTGTATCTCCGACACTGTTTGGCATGTCGGTTTGGGGAACTCGTCCACCACCTGCTTATCTTTGCTCACCTTGTACTTCCTTAATTCAAGATACAGAAGTTGAGGAGGTTTTCAGCAGTAGTCGGATTATCTGCAGAGGTCTCTTCCTCTTCAAAACAAACTGACTCTATGATTTAAACTGGTAAAAAGCCTGAATAAAGCAGTTTCAAGTTACAAATCAGTGTAACTCATACGCTGCTTGTCGACAACCTCTCCTCTCAGTATAACAATCTAGGTGTGAATGAACACTAGGGCAACAACTTATGATGAGGGGTCAGAAGTAGATATCGCTTCATTTTAATGTGGCCACATGCCAAAAAGGATGGGGAAGCACTGAATAATTTATGAACTCAATAAGGAATACAGCAGCAACAATGAATTTGCTAGAATATGGCACCATTTTATGAACGACTGACAACAACAAATTGCTGAATTCAGTTGGAACTGATGTCACAAATGTAACAGATGTGACACTGATGTCAAACTTCTATGAGCCTACAAAGTCAGTTGTTTATTGAGTGTCTAACTCCAAAACTGACTTATAATATCATCACTATAAGTCCTGACAATGTCATTTCCATTTGAAGTAGCCAACTTTGTGGTTTTAGATATGTGCAAATATGATATACAATGATTATACTGAGATCACAGTATGCATTCTGTTTTTGATTTTTCCTTTAAGTGTACCCCACTGCATGTTAACATAATGACATCAGCGTGTTTGTTCTTCCATACTTTGTGTAGGAGTGTAGAGCACCATGGGTAACACAGAGAGTGTGGTGGTGCAGAAGCGGCTGACCCGCTTCCGCCCCGAGGAGCGGCCTGTGATTGAGGGGGTCTTCGACAGGCTTCAGGGCGGTGCTGGTGGCCCTTCAGGGGCCCCAGGGAAAACACCAGCAGGGAAGACACTAACGCTCGAGATGCTGCAGGTGTGATTGTTAATGCAGTAAATAAACTGAATAATTAGCAAATGTAGGAGTCATTCCACCTGTTTAGCAGGAACAAATATTATTGGTGATTTAAAAAAGATTATGTGCTTGTTTTTCTTTCTACTGCTTCATTATCTTTGCACTGAATGTTTACTCAGAGATAAATATATTTGACCTTAATTCCCTTTGCATTTAATTTCCAGTTATTGTTCTTTCTATCTTAGTGTAGTTTTACATATTTTATATACCTGCAGAAGGATTACGCTCTCAGAAACATGCTTTGTTTCTTTAACTCTGACTATATGTTATGCTCTTGTTCCACTGAGCAAATGTCATTTCAGTCCATTGTATTTTATCAGTTTATCTGTCAGTGTATAATCGACTCCTCCTTTTGTCTGTCCCAGTCTTCGATGGGCAGCCTGGCGCCAGACTCCATGGTGAGGAGGATCTACCAGTGCATGTGTCGTATTGACCCTGGAATGGCAGCACCCGCAGCTTCTGGGAAGACCAGCACCCCCACTGCTTCTGGAGTAGGTCGAGAGCAGTTGGTCATTTTCCTAGCAGACACCATGCGGGGCACCGCAGAAGAACGGGCTCCTCTCGTCTTGGCCATGTCTCAGCATGGAGCAGGGGCAGCAGCGGTTGTCACATGTGAGCAGGTAGCAGAGGTAAGGAGAGGGTGAAATTATATAGAAAATAATGTGTCAGATTCTGTGGTATGTCTTTTCTTCTCTACTTTTTCTTTTGTCACATGCTTGTGATTTCAACAGATGTGCCGCAGAGCGTTTCGGAGGTGGCTCTCTGCTCCGCTGTGCTAGTGACACAATTTTTTTTGTTGTACTTTGTAATTTGTCTGGTTCTGGATCAATTAACATGCAGTTCACATTCATTACTTGTGGAGGACCTGTTTGAATGTGAGACATAGATTGAATAAATTGCATGTAAGTTTGTCGTTACTCAGATATTTTTTTACATGATAGTTTTTTTTTTACTATAACTCAAGTAGTTATTTTTTATGATTACTTTTACTTCTACTTGAGGTATAGTAATTATCAAGTAACAATACTTTTACTGGAGTACCATTTTTGTTTGCTCCTCCCACTATTGGTCACAACCCTCCCTTCACTCTGCCCCTCCATCCCTTCTTACTGACACCCTGCTCTGACCTTTTTTAACCTTTCTCTGTAGTTCCTCCAAGACCTGATTTCTGCTGTAGTTCAGATTCTGGTCCACAGAGGGCGCCTGCAGGCCTGGAAGCCAGAGAAAATGGGTGATGGCTCCCTGGGTGTCAAACTCCTGGCAGAGCAGATGTGTTCTGAACTCAAACCATCAGGTAAACAAATGATTTGAACATATTAACAGTAAGAAAATGGGACTGATCTCCTCTTCCTGTTTCAATTCTCAGATCAGGGAGCTTGTGATGTTTCCTGTCTGGAGGACTGGATCTTCAGGGTCTCCCAGGTGTCATTATACCTGGAGATGCTGGTAGCTGAGGGCCTAAATGTGTCTTTGAGCAGCCGGCTGGCCCCCACCCTGCTGCCCCCCTGCAGGGAGACACCCTGGAAAGAGCTGAGGTGTCTGCTGGACCTTCCTGTCCTCATGTTTCTGGCGCCACAGGTCATTATACAAACGTATACGGCATTGTATTGGTCGACTATGACCAAGCTGATTTTCACTCCTTCCTCAGTGTGAGCATTTATTTGGTGAAAGTTCCAAAACCATAGTGCAGCTGATTTTTTTAAGAGAGTTCATACATTTGCCACCATCAGGAGCAATGTCTCTGTGTTTCTGCATTATTGGGGATGGAAAAATGAAAGAATAAATAACAAAAGACAGAAAGAAAGACTGAAAGAGAAAGAAGAGCCAAATATCAGCAGGTGGGCCACTGTTGCTTTAGTGGCATAAGTCGATTCTCAGTGGCATGTCACTGTTGATTATTATTATGTTGCAGCTGTTCTGCTGACTTATGGTACTTCTAAACAAAAAGTCACTCATGTTCCACTGACATATCCCCATTTCTATCAGCATATACCAATGGTATGTCACTTTGAAAGTAGAGTACTTTGCTTTTGTTCAGCTGGCATAAAGCACATGATAACGGTCACGTGTTCCAGAGGCATGAACCACTTTCCATAGGACAACATTTTCACATATGCCAAGGCATGTAAGTCGCTGCTGTGCACCACATAAAACCTGAATCCCACTTATGTCCCAGTGACAGGAGCCACTATTCACCCGCTGTAATCATGTGAAACTGGTAGCTTATACCATAATGTTGCAGTAAAGGAAGTTTGATATTGTGAGGCTTCACTCAAACTGCCTTGAGCCTTGCATTGAACAAAAAAAAAAAAAAAGACAACCTCCTTATGCCTGTAATAACTGTAATAACTGTATCCTGTAATAACTTTCCAGAACTGTAAAATCCTGTCTTAAGAGTAGTATAAATCTGTTTATAATGATTATGTTTTAGAGTTGACTATAAAAGTATAAAATGAATTAACTTTGTTGTACACAAACATTCAGACGTAAGAGTACACTTTTTTTTACCTCACAAAACCTTACCTACATTTGTAAAACTTGGAAAATGTGTATTGTATATAAGTTCTATTTTTGCTCCATGGTTAACACTATACTTATACCATCAGCCACCGCTTGATTCCTTTGAAAAGACAAGCCAGTTCTCTCAAACACCTTAGACTAAACACAAGCAGGGCTGTCGTCATGTAATTATAACTACTATAAATTTGACCTGTTTTATTTCTATAACGGGAACCAACAGTACTGAGAGCAAAGACTAAGGTAGAGTGGCATTAACTAGAAACCCAATAAATCATGTGGGAACATGAGGAACAGGTTTTTCCATCATATTGTGTGGCAGTAATGTGATCAGTTCCACCTACCTCATTGTCATCTAGTTTTATTACAGCTGCAGACAATTCATCAGACGTCACTGTTATTCCCACAGTGACATCATAAACAGTAAACCTTTTGCTTTGCACATCATCAGGCCATATCGTTAATATTCCTCCCATGACTTTAACTATTTCATCAGTGCAACTCATGCCTGTGTTTTAAGATGGTAAATGAGTTTTACTGTTATTCATGGTTTTGACTTCTTCTCAAAATTTACTGTAAATATGACATTGCAACTTCCTGGCAAACAAATCAGCCCTCATGGTTTTCTCATTTCCTGTAGTTAAATTTAGAATTGGTACATTTTTAAAACTCAAACAAAGGTCCTGTGGGCTGCTTGTAGTGGTAGTAGTAGTAGTGTTTATTTATATGGCACCTTTCTATGTCAGACATCATGAACAGCCTCACAATGAAAGGCAAAAGACGGACACAAGAATAAACAGAAATGCTGATTTGTACGCATAATACATCATTTTTGGTTTGCTGTTGGTTAAAGGAATACTTCAAAAATGACCATTTGTATTTCAATAACTAACAGTGTGTTATGTTGACATCAGGAAGAAAACGTTTTTTTTCTGCATGCCTCCATGATATATGAAGAATCCAAAAACAGATGTAAAAGATGTAAACAGATCTTTTGGTATAGTTTTGCTGTTGTTAAATGTGGCACCTCTTTACTTCAGTTCATCAAGAATTTTCTCCGTTTTTGGATTCTTAGTGCATTGTGGAAGCAGTTTTCTTCACAATGTCAAGGTAGCATATGGTGAGTAATTGATATGCAAATGATCATTTTGTGGGTGAAGTCGTTCTGTAATCACTTTAATCAATAACATATAGGCAGCATAAATGATCACATAAAAGTGTAATTGTTCATTCATTCACATGCCGCTGTTACACAATGATATTTCCACACACTGTCATTGCACATCTCTGTGTTAATCTCTCCAGTTGCCAGACAGCTACAATGCCCCCTGGAGACTTGTGTTTTCCACACAGCTGCATGGAGAGAGCTTCACCAGGGTGGTGACCGGACTGACAAATTGCGGACCCACCCTGCTGCTCATCAAAGACACAAAGGGGCATGTTTTTGGGGGCTTTGCCTCCCATGCCTGGGAGGTCAAACCTCAGTTCCAGGGTGAGAGAAGAGATCCCACAGCACTTTGATGTTGTATGATGTAGATGTAATGTGCTATTTAATATTTAATGAATACCATCTCTAGCTTACCAGCTGCCTTCATCAATTTTACAGCAAACTCAGTAGCATTAGCCTACATGACTTGCTCTTTCATGTTTGCAAATGAACCAACAATTTGTAGCATTTGAAATACTGTGTTAGGTATTTAATATAACTGTACCTTAAATTAGAGTCAGAGCTTGCATAGTATATTAGCTGTTAAAGGTGCACCCTCAGACTTTTAATCAGTGTATTTAACTAAATATTGTTCAGTATTATGTTTACTTGAAAGTCATTCAAAGCTAAAGATTAATTTAAATGTATTTTAAGGATTATACAAATGCTAATATGGTGTGGCACCAACATTAGCCTTAGGATTACGAAAGGTTGTGAACTTACTACAAAAAAATGTTGTATTTTCCCTATAAAACTTTTTCACAGCAGGCATTTTTTGTGTGTAAAGAATTATATTAATGATGGCTCAGTTACATGTAGGTGCATCAGTATGCCAGTGTGCACATTATTGGTGGACTGGAACTGTAAGGCCATTATTAATTTTTAAATTACACCTGTGTTTGACATATCAAATTGCTGCAATGAAAAAGTTGTATTAAGTTGATGGAATTTCCAGATTTTCAACATCACTTTAGAGGGTTTGTGTGGTATCTAGTTTGTCATACCTTCATACCTCCCTGACATCTGTGGCATACAGTATTTGACAGTATTTGTGTAAAAACAAACAAAACAAACAAACAAAAAATGTAAAGCTGAGCTACTGATGATAGATGTCTTTGTAGCATGTATGTCATTGTCTAGCCTACAATGCTGTGTTTCTGATATGCATATCATGCTAATGAATAGATAGGAAATAAGCGCGTTGGGCTAAACGGAGATGACATGTTAAATAAAATCATGTGTCATCTCAAGTTATATGTTGCAAAATTCCCAAAAAGGGGGCAGAGGGGTTTTTCTTTTTTTAACTGTCCTGTAACGTGATCCCCACCATTAGCACCAGTTTCTCAGCTCTGCTAAAAGGACACATTGAGGAAGTAATACTACTTGTTTGAATAGTGTGGGCTGTCACTTGACTTTTTCTCTCAGATCTTCATAATTTGTATATATGTCTGTGTGCAGGTGACTCCAGATGCTTCCTGTTCACTGTGTTCCCCAGACTGAGAGTTTATACAGCAACAGGATACAACCAACACTTCATGTACCTCAACCACAGTCAGCAGACCATGCCCAACGGACTGGTGAGACTGCATAAGTTTTACAGAGAGGAACTCCTGGCCATAATTAAGATGAAATTAATCAGGTCTTTAATAAAACTAGACTGTCTGTGCATTAGAAAGACGCAAATAATTTTGAATTTGGTGCTACATGACCAGAGAAAACAGAGGAAAAGGGGCTGTGGCATTTGCTTTTGCTCAAGAAGTAGAAAAGCTACAACTACCAGACGCCGCACCAGACTAATAAACGCTGCTGCTGGTGGGTAATGTAAGATGCCGTACACATGCCGCATCTTTAACTGCCTGGAAATGTGAGGTCGGGCGCTGGGTGCTACTTTTGTGCCTTTTTTGAGCCAGCTGTCAAGAGTGCAGCAGCAGGTCTCGTCTGAGGTTGCTAAGCAACCTTAACAAGCACCGTATCAAAACCTGTTTACCTGAAATCTTGAGTGCAGAGCTAATCCTCCTCCAGGTGCTGTTTATAAGAGTGTGGACATATCGTCCGTGGGACAGATGAAGGCTCTTAGTAGCCCTGCACTTAAATGATCAACTTTTCTGTAGTTATCACAGACTGATATTTACAGAAGAAGGGAAAGATATCTGTCGGCTTTGACTGGTTGTTCCATGTCACATGACATGCAGTGCATGCTGCTGCGTTCCAAAAGTTGAGCTCGGTTTATTTCAGAGCGCAGCCGCCTCGACGACGTTGCTCTGGTGTTTGAGCGCAGCTGCCGTGCGTCTACATTGAAAACAATGAATTTGAGGGTGCAAAAAACGCGGCATGTGTACGGCCCCTAATGCAAACTTGTCAAAAAACGATCTTGTGTTACAGTTAAACAGTAAGCCAAAACATGTTTCTGAAAAATCAGAAATAGGCAATGCAGCAACAGAATCTTGGTTTATATTTAATCAGCACTGCCTAGTTTTACTTATCATTTAAGTTTTTTCTGCCTCTGTTTTCACTGTGCAGTAGACAGTATGGTGCTCACTTAAGTTCACAAATTCTCGCTATTTCAACTAAACAAAGCATTAAAATATGTTTCTAAAACATTTTAGGCAAGAAATAGGCAGCATGGATGAAAGTTTACCACAGTTCTCACATTCTAACACCCACATTGTTTTGATACAAGGCTGGTTGAAAATCAGCGAAGTATCCCTTTAAAGTTTCACTAATCTAGTAACTATGTCTCATGTTACAGTGGTCAATTGTAGTGACAAACTTGCACAGGATTATCCGCCAAGGGCTGACTGTAACTCCACTCTCATCTGTGTTGTTTGCAGCAGCAGGCAGCTGTTTTCAGAGATAAAGCTCTGATAAACCCACTGTATACTACCTGCCCAGCACCAAACAGCAGACAGACACAGTTAGAGACTAGCTTTTCTCAGAAGTTGATGGGGACCAAAACAGGGCTAAAAGGAGAGTGAATGTTTAACACAACATAATATGTCAATTTTATGTTTGATTTCACAAAATATTAATAGTTGAATTCCATAAACAGTATTTCCACTTCAGGATAAAACCAAGACTTCAATGATATTTAAGATTTAATTTAATAAATACTTGTCTTCAGCCTTTTTGTCTCGTGGTGTTTATGTTTTGCGATCTTCATCAGGGTATGGGCGGTCAGCACGGCTACTTCGGACTTTGGCTGGACAGTGAATTTGGCCGAGGTCATAGCCGTGCACGGCCGAAGTGCACCACCTACGGCAGCCCTCAGCTCTCTGGAGAAGAGGACTTCACCCTTGACTCAATGGAAGTGTGGGCGGTTGGAAAACCTCCAGAACCAGAGGAGGTCAGAGTCTGAATACTTGCTCATTTTAATATTTTTTCTTTCTTGGACTTTTTTTTTTGCCTTTATTTGATAGTAGACACAATAGAGGCAGACAGCAAACAAGGGGAGAGACTGGGTATGACAGCAACAAAGTGCTTTAATGCCTTTTTTCAGTACAGACAGGGTGAACAGACCAGTTTTTTTTATTTCAGGTCAACAATTTGTCACACACTGAAATTCATATTCAGTAAAATCACAACAAAACTCTGCACTCTTTTTTTTTTAGAATTTAGGCAAAGGAGAACATGCAACATCAGGCATGTAATTAATTGTACCACAAATAGAGAACTTCATTTACATTATGGCTTTTTGACACGATACAGCTGTTTCCTTTAGAATATGAAGACTTAAATTTGGTATTTCTGTATGTTTTCAGGGCGAGGAAGGGCAGGGCAAGAGGAGTGTCCTGCATATGGATCCAGAGGTCCAGGCCATAATGGAGATGACGGGGAAGACTCTGCACAGTCAGGGCTTCAGGGAGCCAGAGGAAGACCAGGAGTAATGAGGGGCAACTAGACCAAAACAGTCTTAACTTATAAAGACTTGCAGTCCACCTGGTATCAAAAAGCATGATTTTGTCATCTGACATAGCGGACTTAAAGACACTTTCCAGGATACAATAGAGTGATAACAGATTTCTATTCCCTGCCTTTTATTCAGTTTGGACTGTTTTACAACAAAATGCAACTTCTTCCAAGGGTAGCTTTGGTATTTTTCAACTTGGATCCTATTTTCCCACGTTCTGTCTCAGTAACTAATGAAATTGGTCCAATATTGACCAAGAGTGGGAAAACAGGCTACGGTGAAAAGTTAATGGGCAACTGTGGGCACTTAGAATAATACTCTGAGCCTGTCAGTGGCAAAAACAAGCACTTTTACTGGCCGTAAATTGACAATGCAGAAATGCCCAAAGTGGTTACAGTGCAGCCTGTTTTGCGGCTGCCAGCTGCTACGCTGTGGCTCAATACTGGATCAGTTTCAAAAATTGTTGTTCCCACAGTCACTTAGACACAAAACATAGGAAAACGGAGTTGAGATTGAAAAATACAGAAGTTACCCTTTAATTACACAAAGCACAGAAGTCATTCTACACCAGTCAGCTGTCAAACATGGTGTTGGCTATGGAAGACGTCATCACAACATAAACCAGGCTAAAAGGGCCTAATTAGGTTTAAAGGCAGCTTATAAGTGGTCTGTGAAGTCTAATCTAACCCCTTCACACACAACAGAAAGCTACCAGTGTGCGGGCATCAAGCAAGCTTTCATTATCAGTGTGAAAGGGACCAATGTGTCATTGGTTTGTTAACGCTTATTTCCACCACACTACACTGGTATTTGATAGAGGCAAACTTTTTTCAGTGAGTATTCAAGTAATACATCAGAAAAATCTATCAGAGAAAAGGCAGTAGGAGCAGTTTCTTCCTCAGCAGAAGCCTAGCTCAACCAAACGCAATGCATCCACATGATTTTTACTGAAACGACTGACTGAAGTATTAGGTTGAGGAAAGAAAGCCCAACGTAACATTAAGTTACATTGTTACTGATTATGTATAACAGTGAAATAATACAGTGAATTATACTGAAGATCTGGTTTTAAAGGATCGTTTTTATTTACTATTTTAAAAAACCCTTCAGGTTTAGGAGACAAAAAGTGACACAGGCCTATCGAGATGGTCCACCCTCTGAGCCATTACATGTATGAGAACATGTGACCAGTGACCAATCTGTTTATTCAGATACCAGGGGTTCTTAATAATTGATCCCTCCTCAAACTGACTGGATAAGCTTAATGAAACAATAATGAATAAATGAAATTAATAAAAGAGACAGAACAAAGGTTACGATATTGTAACCTTTGTGCTATAAGCACAGGCTTTGACCTCTACTGGACTCCTTTGGTAATACTCCTCCCATCACAAGCATGCATTTGTCGGCCAATCAGGACGTGCCGACATGGATATGTGTGGACCCCACAGTGTATAAGGAGACACACCAAGGCTATCCATCATCATCCGACAGCCTCTTTAGTTAGCAGCATATTGACAGTACCCCTAGGTAGAGGGCTCTGCCTGTGCTAATAGAGCTAGGGTTACAGTATCGTAACCTTCATTCTAGCTCACAGAGCTTGTCTTACTGCATTAAGTTGTTCATGATTTTACAACTGAGACTGAGAAACTGCATCAAAGTCAACAGGTAATAAACTATACTGAAGATGCAGGCCAGTTTATTAGGGCTTGAATGTAACAGAATCTCATGGTCCAGTGCAGAGATGATTCTGTATGTCACCATTTATTGAACAGTTCTGCCAGTTGCTTTTAGCAGCAAGTCTAACTAGGTGCTGCCCAACTGAAAACACTGTATAACAGCAATGGCAACAGATTTATTGCCTCTTATAATAATTTCAGTCATTGTAGAATATACTGTTTAAAGTTGATGGAGATATTTCTGTGTGTGTGTGTGTGTGTGTGTGTGTGTGTGTGTGTGTGGTAAATACATTATTGCAGTGCTGCTCATACTAAAGTAAGATGGGGCCTGGAGGTTGCACCTACTTTCACTTGTGATTCTCAGTTGAGTGAACTGGGACATTTTGCTTAGTCAGTGTGTCTTCATTTCATCATGTTGTAAAAAATGTTGTTAAATGTTGGCATCAACATAAATGACCAGGTCTCCACTTTGACATCTCAATTGTACACAGGCACCTGCCCAGAGACTGAAAGGCAACTCTATTCATCCACCTCCTCCTCTTCTCTTCTCCTATCATGCAAATTACAGAGGCAAGTTACACATGCAAATCTTTTTTATACTCTTACAGCAAATTCACACAGTGGCATGGTGGTCATAGCTCAATAAAGAAGGCTTATACTTGTCTTTATATTTGTGTAAGAAAATTATTTTATTATTTATCCCCAGAAATGTGAATACATTTGAATTCGGGATGACCTCATTACAGTATCTGCTCTTCATTAAACTTATTCAGCCAAGGCTGGATAAAATGCTGTTTACAACAACTGCATATATGGTAGAGATGGTCACCCTCTCTCCCTTAATATAGCAATCAATCAATCAAACTTTATTTGTATAGCTCTTTTCATACAGTTTATGGCATTTTAGAGGCCTATTATATCTATGCCTATGACTATCTTGTTCTGATAGGCTAATAATAAGATAGCAGAAATATCCTGTAAGCAGTAAAACAATGGGATGCTAAAGCACAGATGTTGTGCATTACGTGGTGTTTATATTCATATATTTTTTCCCTGTCTCTCAATGATCTGCATTTATTTTCCTCATCCTAATTTGCACACATGCTGCTATTCATGCTCCTATTTCTATAGTTGTGACAATTGTATTTTCCATTACGTTTAATGGTCACATTTGCTTAACTGTTTCTTAAACTGGGTTGTCTCTCCTAATTCTATAGTATTTGCTGTTCTGAGGACTTGATTTAATCTTTTTAAAAACCTTTCTCAACCTTTTTTCATGTCAGAGACCCCCAACTGTTTGTTTTCATATTTTAAATCGGTGATTCCCAACCATTTTGTCTTTCGATCCTATAGAATTGAGTTGATTTATAAACCAGAAGCAAGTATTGAGCAAACTGGGAATACATTGCTTTCTCTGCTAATGCTACCCTCATCTACAGTTATTTCGTCTAAGGACATTTTTTTACCCAGTAGCCCCTAAAAGATCTGATTATGTTTGTTGTTACCTTCATGTTCTGTCTGTTAAGAGTTACTGTCCAGCAACCACATGTCAGCACTGCACTTAAAGGGGAACACCACCTAAATTAAAGATTACAGTATATTATTTCCTTGGCTGAGGAAAGTTCAATCAATATTTCTGAACATGAGCTACTCTCTCTCAGAGGCAGAAACCAGACAAGTGAGTCTCAAACTTGTGATGTCATAGGGTATTAGTTCTGGAACTGCTGCATAGACAATAAATTTTGTGGACCCACAATATGTTTAAATGAGCTTTATTCTAATGCAGTGTTTTGAATTCTGAAACAGAAAATGGGTGTGGTTCTCCTTTAAGTATAATTTTGAGGTAGGCTACTTGTACTTTACCTAAGTATTCCCATGTTAACCCTTTCAGAGGGAAATATTGTACATACTATACTATACTAGTAGGCCTACTGTTGTAGATGAAACAACCCAACATTGTAAAGTACTTCAAATGAGCAGCTGTAACATTAAAATGCTGTATACACAGTATGACACAATCTATATATTCCACTAATATATAAAAACATAACTTATCATTTTGCACCATAATAAGTATTTCTACTTTTGTATAGTTTTAGTTTAAGTACATCATGCGGACACAACTGTTGCACTTCAACTCAAGTGTGGTTTTGAAAGCAAGAGTTTTTTTTTTTTTTAGAGTAGGTTTGTTTTGAACTGTGGTAGAGCAACTTTTACGTCTTCCAACAGTGATGATGGATAAGAGTAAAACATATCCTTGCATCCTGTCTTCTACTTTAACCTTTTAATTTATAACTGGGATTGTTAGTTAATTGAAGTTATGAAATAATTATCAGAAGTATGGAGATTCATCTCAATATTCATGTGTTAATTCACAATAAATAAATAAATACAATTCAAAACTCAAAAACCTATTGCAAATATAAAATGCTTCTGCAAACACACAAATGAATTCCACAAATAAAAAGTATCTGTGAATACATTTAATTAATTTACAAATGAATAAAACATATTTGTGAATACCTTCCATATATATATAGATATATGTGAATCCAGTTGTTGTTTTTTTTTTTTAAATTTGTGAATCTCAATTCTGTGCCTGCAGATTTTCATTTTATGCACACTCACATATATATATATATATATATATATATACAGTACAGGCCAAAAGTTTGGACACACCTTCTCATTCAATGCGTTTTCTTTATTTTCATGACTATTTACATTGTAGATTCTCACTGAAGGCATCAAAACTATGAATGAACACATGTGGAGTTATGTACTTAACAAAAAAAGGTGAAATAACTGAAAACATGTTTTATATTCTAGTTTCTTCAAAATAGCCACCCTTTGCTCTGATTACTGCTTTGCACACTCTTGGCATTCTCTTCATGAGCTTCAAGAGGTAGTCACCTGAAATGTTTTCCACTTCACAGGTGTGCCTTATCAGGGTTAATTAGTGGAATTTCTTGCTTTATCAATGGGGTTGGGACCATCAGTTGTGTTGTGCAGAAGTCAGGTTAATACACAGCCGACAGCCCTATTGGACAACTGTTAAAATTCATATTATGGCAAGAACCAATCAGCTAACTAAAGAAAAACGAGTGGCCATCATTACTTTAAGAAATGAAGATCAGTCAGTCCGGAAAATTGCAAAATCTTTAAATGTGTCCCCAAGTGGAGTCGCAAAAACCATCAAGCGCTACAACGAAACTGGCACACATGAGGACCGACCCAGGAAAGGAAGACCAAGAGTCACCTCTGCTTCTGAGGATAAGTTCATCCGAGTCACCAGCCTCAGAAATCGCAAGTTAACAGCAGCTCAGATCAGAGACCAGATGAATGCCACACAGAGTTCTAGCAGCAGACCCATCTCTAGAACAACTGTTAAGAGGAGACTGCGCCAATCAGACCTTCATGGTCAAATAGCTGCTAGGAAACCACTGCTAAGGAGAGGCAACAAGCAGAAGAGATTTGTTTGGGCCAAAAAACACAAGGAATGGACATTAGACCAGTGGAAATCTGTGCTTTGGTCTGATGAGTCCAAATTTGAGATCTTTGGTTCCAACCGCCGTGTCTTTGTGAGACGCAGAAAAGGTGAACGGATGGATTCCACATGCCTGGTTCCCACTGTGAAGCATGGAGGATGAGGTGTGATGGTGTGGGGGTGTTTTGCTTGTGACACTGTTGGGGATTTATTCAAAATTGAAGGCACACTGAACCAGCATGGCTACCACAGCATCCTGCAGCGACATGCCATCCCATCCGGTTTGCGTTTAGTTGGACGATCATTTATTTTTCAACAGGACAATGACCCCAAACACACCTCCAGGCTGTGTAAGGGCTATTTGACCAAGAAGGAGAGTGATGGAGTGCTGCGGCAGATGACCTGGCCTCCACAGTCACCGGACCTGAACCCAATCGAGATGGTTTGGGGTGAGCTGGACCGCAGAGTGAAGGCAAAGGGGCCAACAAGTGCTAAACACCTCTGGGAACTCCTTCAAGACTGTTGGAAAACCATTTCAGGTGACTACCTCTTGAAGCTCATGGAGAGAATGCCAAGAGTGTGCAAAGCAGTAATCAGAGCAAAGGGTGGCTATTTTGAAGAAACTAGAATATAAAACATGTTTTCAGTTATTTCACCTTTTTTTGTTAAGTACATAACTCCACATGTGTTCATTCATAGTTTTGATGCCTTCAGTGAGAATCTACAATGTAAATAGTCATGAAAATAAAGAAAACGCATTGAATGAGAAGGTGTGTCCAAACTTTTGGCCTGTACTGTATATACACACACACACTTTTTGTTAAATAAAAATGGAAGTTGTGTGTTTGCAGATCTGTTTTATATTTACTAAATATTGTAAATTTACAAATCTTTTTTTGTATTTGTGGGAGTTGTTCTATATTTACAGATTACACATTTACACACAGATTGTCGATCTCCTCGCACAAATAATATTGAGACAAATCTATCTCCATATATAAGGACCTTATGGACCACCTTAATTGACAAGTAGGAGTTCTCGCAGCTCACTGTGAGAAACTTCTGCACCTGTCAATCATATTTTGATGGATTGTAGCCTATTTAAGATGGCGCAGCTTTCTCTGCGTCCACAAGCTGCTGCACTCAGCATCAGAGACAGCGGACTGCGAGCCCGTTTCCACACTCAGTACAACCTGTTAAGCTCCAAGCATTTATTTTGAAAAGACGCATTAGTCCTCACCCTGACAGGTCACAGTGACAGCTCAAATCATCTCTGGTCCGATGCCACTTGCACAGTGTAGTTTGCATAGATACCGTCCCTGCTTCCGGTCCTTTTTTTTTTTATAACTTGTAGGCTTAGCCTATAATGCAAGTTAACTTTTACTTCCTTGTACACACAGATAGAGGAACTGGCCGTTTTGCGGCTGGCCTTTTTGTCAACACTCTACATCCTCTCCAGCTTCTTACATGACTTTCAAATCATGATCAGATAGAAAACAAGCGGCAACTTTGCAGAGCTGAAAAGAGTCGAACTCACTTGTAAGGTAAGTATTTTTTGTTACTGTAATCTCTTTTTGGTGGTCTGCGTGTTAAACAGCCTGTGGTGTGAGTTAAATCAGCAGAGGGGAAGTCCGCCTTTTACCGGCAGCATATCTGCAGGGCTCCAGATGATGTGTGTCGGAGCAGGCAGCTCGGTGCAGCTCACAGCAGTCGGTCCTTCAGTCTGCACTGTCACATCGGTTACACCGGCTGTTACTGCACAAACAGCTTGGTGTTTGCTGCAGCCACCGTCACACTTAGATCATTGATTGGTGGTGGTTTCGTTTGGAAAGCATTTAGCTGAAAGAGTGAGGAAAATAGGTTAATCAAGAAAAATAGCATAATAACCAAGTGCAACATGGTGACACAAGGTAGCCTTTTCACCTCATTATGCCACCATGTGCTAAGTTACTGAGAATTTTTTTTAATATTCATGTTATTTATAGTAATTCCTTCTGAACAAAGAAGGTTTAGCCAGGGGTACTGTCATGCACAACTATTTTACATAATCTTAATTTAGATTGTTGTAGGCTAAAGGCTGCTGTACATTCAGTTGTCAGTTTATAAGGTCCACCTACCTAAAATAGAGTTTAATATTAATATATTAATTATATTTATAAATGTTATAATTTTGACAATGTTTTAAACTAAAAACTGGCTCTACTCCAAGTACAAGCCTTTATCTGGTATTGCTAAGCAAACCAGGAACTAGTAAGCTAAATTTTAACAGTAGGCAACTCTAAAGTTTCATGTTGTTGACAAATAGACAGAGGTGGCACCAAGTCATTGTTTTGCAAGTCACTAGTAAGTCTCAAGTGTTCTCATTCAAGTCCCATGCAAGTCCCGAGTCCCTAGTCCTAATGAGTTTCAAGTCCTAAACAAGTCTCTTCACCAAATATAGCCTGATGCCATTTTAACAATAGAGTAACAATATATTAAATCCTGAATGCTTTTTAAAATGTGTGCTTATTTATTAAACACAATTACTGGAGGTTGTTGTGTCTCCATATGTACTTTTTGACCTGCATATTTTGCACACTGCAGTTAGTTTCTTGTTAAAAACTGTGTAGTTTTTGTATGGAAATTAAATTATTTCTGGGATCTTTTTTTTTTTGACCAACTGGCGCTCAGTAATGTTATGGTCGTTCTTCATGGTTTTCTCCTGCATCTTGATTGGATGCTGTAGGATTTGTTCAGGCAAGGTGGATCTGGGGAATTATGTGGGGACTCCCTTGAAATTAATAATGTTAACCTCAGCTGATTCAGGGAGTGTAGGAAAATGAATTCATTCTTGGCACACATTTTAAATAACATATTTTTAAAAACATCTTTTCACTTGGGGGAAAGTATCAAGTGTTTTCAATTCAAAAGGCTCAAGTCCAAGCTAGGTCATGACTCACTGGTGTTGAATGTCGAGTTACAAGTCTACTTTGATTTCATTCATTCATTCATCTTCTAACCGCTTCATCCTCTTGAGGGTCGCGGGGGGGCTGGAGCCTATCCCAGCTGACATCAGGCGAGAGGCAGGGTTCTACTTTGATTTTTTTAAAGATATTTTTTTTGGCCATTTTGCCTTTAATGGACAGGACAGGTAAGCGTGAAAGGGGGAGAGAGAGAGGGGGGATGACATGCAGCAAAGGGCCACAGACTGGATTCGAACCCGGGCTGCTGCGGCAACAGCCTTATACATGGGGTGCCTGCTCTACCACTAAGCCACTGATGCCCCTACTTTGATTTTTTTGAGTTGTGTCTAAAGACATCAGATTTTTGACTCAAGTCTGACTCTGAAGGTGGAACTGCCACAGTTGTTTGGAACCATATCAGCTCAGCAATGTCTGCTCATTTAACTTGTAGACATGGAAAATTCCAGATAATTTCAAGTTGTGTTTCTAAATGTGTCATTAGAATGAGCTTGTAGTGTTAGCTACCAGTGAGGTGTTTGGTGAGACTGGAGGAATATGACCCCTGCTGAACTTAGAATTCTGGCAAAGCTGAAATAATCCATTTTTAGCCAACAGAAGGCAAAAGAATGTCGCAACAAACTGACAGACACAACAACCCTGACATGATTCAATCAATCAATCAATCAATCAATCAATCAATCAATCATGTCTTTATTGCAGACTCAGTGGTCCATAAAAGAATACAATACGAATTTTGTGTTAAGGGGCATTATCCCCTTATAATTTTGTTGTTTGTCTTGTTATGGTTGTTGTCTTGTTATGATAACCAGTGGCCCACTAACACTTGGAACATTATTATTATTCATTCTCACATTAGTCACATTCATTCAATTAGTAATACACTCTCCTTTTATTCTATTTTGGTCTCCACCATCTTCTGTGAAAAATATCTGCCTCTTTAGCTGCTAAATGTTTGATTGTTTGACTTCACCAACTATTTTTTTTTTTACTTTGTCAAAACTTTTGACGTTTGTTGCCAGGCAGATCGTCTTTTAGCTGAAAATAGCTGGCTGCTGTTGCTGGAAATAATGTTGACCAGAGCGGTGAGAGTACATGTGATGTAAAAACAACAACAGTGAGGTTTTTGTGAGATTATTGTGTTACTTGCATTACACATGATAATTTTCAATGTTAACATCCAGCAAAAAAGAGTTTGCACACACAATTTGTCAGAATCTTTTAAAATCTTTTTGAACCGTTTTGATTCATTTTTTGTATGTTGATTTCTATTTTTTACTCCCCATGGCATGGAGAACTGGAGCTTATGGTGTGAACGGCCAGGTGACTGCTGACGGGCAGGCGTGCAATAATTAACAAAGGGCGCACTTCCACGGCCATTGTGAACCCAGTATTATGCTCATTTTCAGGTTCATACTTGTATTTTCAGTACCTAGAACATGTTTACGTGCTTTAATGGTAAAAAAATCCTGTATTTTCCTTATACTGTCTGTGCTGGAACACCTGTATTCACCCTCTGTCTAGGGAGGCTCCATTTAACGCCTGTCTCTTTAAGAACTCCTCCTGAAAAAGCCCAGTCTGCTCCCCCTGGTCAGTGTTTATGGATCTACCATATCTCGCTGTCTCTGTACCCACCATCACTGCAGTTGTGGAATGACTGTAACAGAGCATAGTGGCACTTTTTGTCATGAAAAATCACCAATAGAAGCTTCTAAACACAACCAGACATGTTTTAGCGGGAATATGATCCAAAATCAGGGAGAAATTAATAACATCTGCATCTAAGATGACATGTTTCCCTGATGTTAGCATGTAGCTACATGTAGCAGTGTAAGCAACATAATGTAAACACTTGAAGTAGTGTGTCTGGAGCAGATGACCATATAAAGTAATCCGTCACACTATGATGTTTTACTGTAGCCAGAGTAAACATTGTAAACAAAGTATTCAGAACGGTAGTAAATCTGAGGTTTTATGCTCACATTATTTGAAACTTAGGCATCCTTTAATATGAACAGCCTTCACTATATTTAAGACACAAAATATAGATGTATAATAGGTCCTCTTTAAAGGCACCCCAGCTCTCTTTTCCTCTTTATTTCAGGTCAGTGTTTCTTTTCTCCATCTTCATGTTCAATTTTTATATTCTCAAATTTATATAATTTTTTAAAATTATATAAAAAGCAGAGGAAAGTAGCTTTAGGATTTACTAAAATTAAGAAATTGTAATGAACTGGTTACAGCTGTTTTGATTGGTAAATACTGATAATGCATATGAATATCTTTTGCAGTTACTGTAGCTTACTATTGACTTTAATCTAAAATAACAAAAACCTCACTGACATGTGGTTGCAGTCAGTAAACTGTGGTGAAACTAGGGCTGCAACTTTCTAAAATATTCATGGTATGATAACCGTCACAGAAAATATCATGGTTTCACTGGGTATAGTATAAAACTGCTTTTAATATCAGTTTAAATGACCTTTAAACGATTTTTGGGGTTAAACAAACACTTTATTATAGTTGAAACCTGAAAGTTTTTTCAATAGAAGACTGCGTAAGAAAAAGAAAAAGGAAAAATGTGCATGGCATGATAATCGTCCATGTTGAAACCACATTATACCTTAAAAGTGGTACATAACTGTAGTTGAAACTAACTTTTGGTTTACCCCACAAAATATAAAAAGTCTTGCTGGACCACTCTGTTGTCACTTTAACTACTATATCATCTATTCCACGGGCCTTTTCACAGTCACACCTGTGTAATTTAACCAATGGGAGCCATTCTGCTTCATCTCTAATTTGCTATTTAATCTCATGCAGTCAATGCAGATTTGACGTGGTGATTATGTCATTTAACACAAAAGTAAATCAAAATCCCCCAATATTTGATCTTATTTGGCTTAACCAGAGAAATTGTAGGTGTGTGTATTTGTGTGTATACATATGTATTCTTTCAGTGTATATGGGTGAGTGTTCCGGTGTGTATCTGAGGAGTGACACTCCAACATGTTAAAATCCAGTACAGTGGCTCATCACATCTTTGTTCCATATAAACACTGGTTTTCCTGGAGCAGGCATGTTTGTGCATGCATGACATGAACACATATGGAACACATATGGGTTTATTGGCACAGTATTTGTGTTTTTTTTCCACCGCCGCATCGGTATGAGGAAATTAATTAGTCTGAATAAGGCTGTAGTAATCCCAGGAGGGTAAGTCCCTTCACAAGGGTAAAGGTTTCAGCAGGGAAAACAGGGAAATTGTTGTGTGATAATGTTAGTTAATCATTAATTTCATTTCAAAACACTGAGGACAGCTCTTTAGTTTTCATGTCTCAAGTTATTGAATATGTACTTATCATATTATATTCCATCATTAATATATGTGAGTGTAATTTAAAGGGATAGTTCGGGTTTTTGGACATGAAGTTGTGTGAAATGCTGACCATCTGTAGCTCTGATGTGACGGTGTCACTACTGTCAAAGAGCCTCCTGCTCTGAGAAATGGCCCGTAGCTTACCTGAGAAAAAGTAGTTCTTAAGATATAAGGGGGACACGTAACCAAAAGGTTTTAAGCTACAAAAAAGTATGCATGTGTTTTGTTAGACTATTTCAATAATTTTAAAACATCCCCGCATTACGTCAGACCTTGCTATCAATTGAGACTATTTTCTGGCCAGTATCATTCCGCCGTGCAGGCCCGCAAGACAGCACGCCAACAGAAATCAATCAGACAGTTCATCACCACGCCGTGCAGGTGCACAGGATAGCAACGGCTAACGAAAACTTCATCGGCTGTTTCCAACAGAGAACCAGTAGGCTATCATTAGTGAGGAAGAAGATGTACTAGCCCTATATATACACCTACTACTACAGCATGAACACGGCTCAGGCTCACGACACACCCTTGTTAGCTGCTGTAGGTAAACAGAGGAATACCAAAATGGTGCGAACTTGTGATTTCCCCAGCTGTGGGAATAAAAACATCGCCGGCTCCCAATTCCATCGGTTTCCTGTTACAGATGTATGTGCTGTGTTCGCGCTGTAGTAGTAGGTATATCTAGGGCTAGTACATCTTCTTCCTCACTAATGATAGCCTACTCGTTCTCTGTTGGAAACAGCCGATGAAGTTTTCGTTAGCTGTTGCTATCCTGCGCACCTGCATGGCGTGGTGATGAACTGTCTTATTGATTTCTGTTGGCGTGCTGTCTTGCGGGCCTGCACAGCGGAATGATACTGGCCAGAAAATAGTCCCAATTGATAGCAAGGTCTGACGTAATGCGGGGATGTTTTAAAATTATTGAAATAGTCTAACAAAACACATGCATACTTTTTTGTAGCTTAAAACCTTTTGGTTACGTGTCCCCCTTATATCTTAAGAACTACTTTTTCTCAGGTAAGCTACGGGCCATTTCTCAGAGCAGGAGGCTCTTTGACAGTAGTGACACCGTCACATCAGAGCTACAGATGGTCAGCATTTCACACAACTTCATGTCCAAAAACCCGAACTATCCCTTTAAATTACACTCACATATATTAATGATGGAATATAATATGATAAGTACATATTCAATAACTTGAGACATGAAAACTAAAGAGCTGTCCTCAGTGTTTTGAAATGAAATTAATGATTAACTAACATTATCACACAACAATTTCCCTGTTTTCCCTGCTGAAACTTAGAGCTACAGATGGTCAGTGTTTCATACAACTTCATGTCCAAAAACCCTAACTATACCTTTAAGGCAGACAATGGATATTCACACAAGAAACGTGTGGTTTCATGTTTATTCTAATTAAACAAGGAATTCATCCGCACATAAAGGTATGCTGATACCTTTTTTTATAGTGACAGACTTCAAATCATGTTTTCTGAATTCTTTCTGGTCTTAATTTATATATTTTTTAATCATGTAATTATAAAGAATGGGGTCTCAGTGCCAACGATTATTTACATCAGCTTATAGGCTTTGTAAATGGCTTTGCCTTTCAGTGTAGAAATATTTTAGGAAACTCTCCACAGTATCCTTTAATTGGTGTTTTATATGTTTAACAGAACTCCTCCTGTGGCACTGTTTTGTTTTGATATCTCTCTGGTCATTTGCAAGTTAAATATTAGGTATTGTGACGGGCCAGGTTGAACTTCAACTCTACCCTCAACTCCACAAGTATGCAACACTATTTCTAATTAACGTTTTATCTTACACTGGTACTGAACTACACATTCCTGATCCTCTTAAAAAAATACTGCATGCCATAGGAAACTGAATTGTTTTCCATTTACTGACACACATTTGCTGATAAGATGGTGGGGACAGCTGCAGTAGAGGTGTGCCTTTTTATTAAACTGTTTATCCAATCTAAAGATAATGTCCATTGATGAAACAGGTTTTACCCTACTCCAATTAAAAGCACCCCGTGCTACCTACCACCAACGCCTATCATACGTTCCCCCTCAAAATCATGAAGATACAGTATACTGTTGGTATAAAATAAATGATTGACATAGAGAATAAGTGACTGTAGTGACGACAAGAGACTGATAATAATAAAATGAACTGAAGCAGAAGGAGAGCATGGTCACATTAAGATAAAGATCTGAGCTCTAACATTTGCATGTGATAATAATACTGCTGTAGTATGTGGGTGACAATTCAGAGGACAAACAACTGGAAAGGACACACAGAAATACCAGAAGATGAGAAAGCAGGGCCCTGGAATTTATATGTCCCTGGTAAGCACGGGGCATCAGATATGTTTTATCAGGGAACTCAGACAGTTTTTCCAAATGAAGTTCAGTTTACTCATTAAAAGGAGTAATAACTGGCCTATGAAAACATTCATCATTCATTCATTTCCTGTAACAGTTTCTCTTGGTACAGGGTTGCTGGGGGGCTGTAGTCTATCCCAGCTGTCTGGCTGTCGTTAAGCATCTGTCACCCTAGCCATTACGGTGCACTGCTACCTCTTGTCGGCCCTTGATGGCTTTTTTTTCAGCCAATTCAGCATGTTGAATCGGTGTCAGAGATGGTGAGACCTGTCAGTGAATAAAATCACTCTGATTGGTAGTTCAGCTCAGCGCACAAGACAAGAAACAAAGATGAGGAAAGTAAACAAACAGCTAAAGTCAAGAGGGGGTGAGACCAAAACAAACTTGTTATATAAGGTAACATTATTATTTCTTTAGCCATTAAGCTCTTTAGCAGATACGTTTTGTGATTGTTTGTGTTACTGTTAACTGTCACTGTCTTTCAGCATTGGATTGTGTTGTTGATATGCTAACTGGCTAACAAGACAGTCTTCCGGTTTCCGTTTTTGAATGATAATTACCGACTGCCTACTGGGGTGGAAAGTTATTTCTTGTCACACAGGTGCAGAACGTACGTGCTGGTGGGGCATTGACTGTAGTCTTTGCAGCCAAGACACAGGTGATATGAGGTGACGCAACAGTCATCTTTCATTGTTGCTAGTTCTTAGTTTTGGTGTTTCTGGGCCTTTAGAGTCACTAATTAACCTGTATGTCTTTTGGGAAGCTGGAGAACGCGGAGAAAACCCATGCTGACATGCAGATTTCACACAGAACAGCACCAAACCAGGATTTGAACCTGGCACCTTCTTGCTGTGTGCTGACTACTAGCCAAGAGCGATGCAGGAGCGTCCATCAAGCTAATCATAATCATAAGCTAAGTTTAGGCAGCTAGCTATAACATAGCTATTCTATAGGGACATCACATCGGTAATTCATAATGTCAGCTGATAATTAAATTTGCAAACAGCACGCTAGTTAGTGTCATGGAGCCAATGATCCAAATGAAATATAGGAACATTGCAGTTAGTGGCTGTAATCATGGTCAGTCTTGTGTTTGACACAGTTTTGGCTGATGCACAGGTGCCTGTTCACAGCTTCAGAGTGTGTGCATGGGAGCACAAGCTATATGCTAATTAAAGTTCAGTTAACGGCCTCAGAGAGAGGTGTCACTAAAACAAGTTACATACAGAACCTTTAACTTACTTTTATGTGTCCCTCTAAAGCTGTCTAAAGAGTTCAACATCTCAAAGCTTATGAAATACGGGAGGGATAAAATATTTCCAAAACAAAACCTGCAGAATGAGCTAGGCTTCATGAAGGTTATTCTAATATTTTGTTGTTACTGTAGAAAACGTCATAATCTACATTTTTAGTTGCCAGTAAATGAGTGTCTCTGTGGCTCTGTCTCAGCTGCAGAGATGGCTTCTAGGGGGCAGCAAGGCGAGATGACGGAGTACAAGAAGATTCGGATCAAACGGGACTTGGAGATGGGCGTGGTCATGACGGTGTTTCGGCAGAAGGCGGAGCGACTCACCGTGCAGGTCATTATGGAGACCCGGCAGGTGGCATGGACACGCACTGCAGACAAAACTGATGGTGTCTGTAAGTATATTAATGAATAATAATAATAATTATTGTCTTCTTAGTTTATGTAGTACATAACACAGCAATAATATTTCTTCACTGTTGTGAGAGGTATAGGGCTGCCCAGATCCAGTACAGAAATGGCATCAACAAAAGGCGCTGTCAGGAGTAGGCTGCCTCACAAATTCAAGCATGGCTTTTATGCCTCCGTGCTGGCGACAGCTGTGGACGGAGGCATTATGTTATTGGGTTGTGCTGTCCATTCCATTTATGTGAACGCACTATCTCAAGAACACCTTGTGGGAAATACTTCAAATTTGGCACAAATGTCCAATTGAACTGATTAGAATTTGGCTCTGGGGCTTGAGCACCGCCGGTATTCATTAGTCTTGGGGAAAAAATGTTGCAGTGGCAGAAAATGTGATTTTAATTAGTGGTGTATAGCAAAGTTGTATTATACATTCAGCAGTATGACTGTTTTGTGCCATCTACCATGAGATGGTAGTTATGTAATAAAGCGGAAATCACCGTGGCTGAATGTTGAACTAGTTGTGCAAGTGCTATACAATGCAGTAACTCTGCTTGCCAATAGATACTTGATTCAATGCTTAGTTTTTATTAGCACAATTTTAGTAGATTCTTTAAACTGTTCTTTAATAGAATCCTTAAAAATATTGTTCCATCGAGAAGATATTAAGGCTTAGAGAGGGGCATTTGGGGCTGTGCTGCTTTAGATGTCTTTGAAGCTGTCATACACCATGGTGATGGTTGCCACTTAAAGGATTCACCTCAGCTCCACTTGCACAGTGGCTCTGCACTGATATGCCTCTCATATCCAATCCACCATTTCACTCTTCTTTATTTTAACATTTATCCTATCAGCCACTGATTAGCTGCACTACTGCAATTATGTTTCCAGCGCCTTTCGGCTCAGAGGCAGGAGAGAAAGCTGCTGTTGTCAGTTCCTTCCCCACATTTCCTCAGCTAGTATGTGACAAAACTGATTCTCACCTCAGCTGTTTTGTAGTTGAGTCATCACTGCCGTACCATATTGAGGCCCAAATGTAAAGTCACACGTGTGTTTAAGATTTGGAAAGGCTGTTTTAAACATGCTATTCCATGACACAGTGGACATCAGCTACCTAAACTCTGAGTTGTTGTTCATTTGCTTTTTTGTCTCAAAGAAGTCACGAGCTACAGTTAAACTATGATCTCAATGCTGTAGTCAGCTTTCAGGCTATGTTATGCATTGGCTAGCTGCCACACTGCAGTGTCATGAAATTGTGAGGAATTTATTATATGCATGAAATTATATCAAGACAACAGTCATAGTTTTGAGGAGATTTGTGATGTAGCTGTAAAGGCATTCGGTATTCATATTCAGGGTGTGTGTCATCACAGTGTTTCCAAGTGTGAAAATAAGCATGCCTCAAACGCTCGCTAAATTAGTTTCACTGTGAGAGCTGAAAATGTGTGAAACTGAAAAAGAACCATCTTACATTTACTATAGTGTACTATTGTCATGTTTTTTTGTGTGACTCAGACTACAGATGAAATGTCCTCTCCAGAGATGATGATTAACAATCTTCAAATCACCTCCTTTAGAAAACAAAAATCCAAACACCAGAAATATGTGCTTTGTTTCAGTGGACCTTTTTGAGATCAGAGAGATCCGTCCAGGAAGGAACTCCAAGGACTTTGAGCGCTTTAAAGATGGCAAGGACAAACACGACGAAAATACCTGCTTCACGATCTTCTATGGCTCACAGTTTGTTCTCAACACCCTCAGTCTGGGAGGTGAGGCCTTTCTTTTTTAATATTTGTAGCCCTGTGTTCTCATTAAATTCCTTTCTTAGGTCTTGGATATGGTTGATGTTTTGAAGGCCTCCAGTGTGCTGATCTTTAATATTCATCAACTTGACCATTTCTTTTGAAAGAAATAAAAAACATTTTGGGAAATACACTTGATTTGTCACAGAGTGAGATCAAAGGATTGACATTAATCTCTCTGTAGAGTGAGTACAAGACTGAAGTCAGGATGTGGTTAGTCTAGCTTAGCATTTAGACTGGACTCTGGGGAAAGAGAGCTACCCTTGCTATGTTCAAAGCTCAAAAACCAACTCTGAAGCTGACACGTTGAAATGCTTAACTATACAGCAGAAATAAACATTTTCACAGCTCAGTAAAAACCTGTGTGGCCTCTGTGGCTGATTTCCTTCTTCATTACAACTGTACGGGGTGTAAATTCTTATATAACTCACCCATTTACATTTTTTGAAGTTAAGCATGTTTAACGCTGGGCCACTTGAGTAACAGGCTGTCCGCAAGGGGTAGCTACAGTCTGTGAGTCAGATCCACCCATCACTCCTCCACACCTCCACCGTCTCGTCCATGTCACTTATGGCTCCAAAAAACCAGGATAGTGACAGCAGAAATGCCAAACACGAGGCTTGAACATGGGAGTCCACTAACCAATGGGTGATGTTAGGGTGGCTATGTCCATTATTTTATACATTTAAAGAATGTATTTGGCCATCCAACAATTTTATGCAGCATCTCTGGCTATCACGGGGGGTGCCAGATATGGTCGTTGAGTACAAGTTTTGGATTCAGTCTCGCACAGTGGAATCAAACCTGGCAACCTCAGTGTAAGGATGTTGTCAGTCAAGCAATAGTTCTCACACATCACATCAATCTACAAAATGTGTTACATTTCTGTCAGTCTACAGGTGAAACAAAGAGTTGTTAGTTTGCATGTTTTTACATTCTGAACAGAGCAGGCTAACCTCCACTCTTCATGCTAACGAAGTCCTTACTCCAACTCTGTACTTCAGCATTTTTACCAAAATGTTGAACATTTCTCTTAAAAGATGTACATAAAAGGCCAATTATTCTACGTTCAGGAAAGAATTGTGTACTTGTCAAGGTAGAAAATGTCCCAAATTGCTGTAGAACACGGAGCAAACCAATGAACTGATGTTAGGTTTGTTTCAGACCAAGGGCCGGACTAGGCGTGTAATAGAAGATATAACTGTGAAACTTATTAACTTAAAAATTTCTTAGATTTTCCTTATTGTTGTATTAGCTCTCACATACTCTCAGTTGCAGTTGGAGTTAAACTGCATGCACATTTTTTTTATTTAATCTTTATGAATTTATTATCAAGCATATTGTTAAATGCTTTGATACAGTATACATTTTCTCATCAGTGCACCTTTTGTTCAAGGAAGTGTGTTGGAATGTCAAATAACTCTTCTCATGTGAACAGTTAGAGCTTAAAGGCAAAGTGTTTCCTAAATGGCAGATCTGATAAAAAGCAGATCCACTGCTCATCTTCCCCTAGTGCTAAATGTCTGTTTAGTGCTGGAGATAGCCCAGGCCAGAGGCAATATGTTTTTGGTTTGTCTGTCCATTCCATTCTCATGAGAACTGATTAGATTTTGGTGGTCAAAGGTCAAAGATCGAGGTCATTGTGACCTCACAAAATGATTTTGGCCATAACACAAGAGTTTATATGTTAAGTATAACAAAATTTCACACAAACATCTAAAGGGATATAATGATGAAATGATGACATTCTATATCCAGACATTTGGTCAGATACTGAATTGGTGACACTAATCTTTAGTGCCCATCTTGAAACTGTGCTGATTATATAGCTCCTCTGTGCTGCTGGGGGGAAGATGTGTGTGAAACATTCATGTTTTCACAGACATGGATGTAAACTATCACTGCAACTCTGCAACTTGTTGGGTTTGTGGAGGCATACAACAGTGAAGTGGTAATTCTAGTTTGTGGTTATTTTCCAGCTGATTCTGTTGAGGAAGCACAGAAATGGCTGATAGGACTAGAATTGCTGAGGAAAGAGACACTGGAAGCACCAACTCCGGTTCTTGTAGAGAGGTACACACACACACACACACACACACACACACACACACCCACAGTTATGGGAGAAAGACTAATCCAGTGATTGATCGCTCTGTGTTTCTTTCTCTCCAGTTGGCTGAGGAAGCAGATGTATTCTGTCAATCAGACCAAAACAAACAGGTACTGTATTATCTGGTTACTTATTTACACTAGCTCTGTACATAAATGATAAAATCAATAGGATTTTTACCATGTAAATTATCACTGGTGTTTTCTAAACGAATCAATTTTCAGTATGTGAGAAAACCTTTAGGAAGTCTTTTGTCTAACCTGTTGATAACTGAAGAGATTTTTTTTGTAATTACTTTACATAACATAACATGTATTAAATGCAATAAAAATACAGTAGGTAACTTTAATAAAAATAACTTTTTGTAACATTTGACATTATATCCAGACATTAGCACATGAGACAGGTAATCTGTGAAAAACGTCATGTTCCTCTGCATCCTTGTAGTACTTCAAAGGCATTTGCAAAAATCTGCCGCGGCTGAATGAAAACAAGCAGTCAGAGCTATGGAGTCTTTAACCCAGCTGTCAATCATGTCAATCACTGCACGTGAACTGCGGTCAAACTGTCAAACTACTGTAGGCAGCGTTGATGAAATTTGAATCAAGATTCTGTTACTGCATTGCGTTTTTCTCACCTCAAATGTTTTCAGAAACATATTTTTGTGTACTGTTTAGCTGTAAAATGAGAAAGTTTGTGACCCAACAGCCGTGTTAAAAAAATCAGTCCAAAACAAAGCACCACTCTCTGTTAAGAGCAAACTTTCCCATTACCAAAATCTAAATAAATCTGTCTCATGTAGTGTCTAGATTATAGTGACAGTTACAGCGTATATGACAAAAAGTTATTTTTATAAAAGTTACCAACTGCAGCTTTAAAGATCACACTCATGGGCCAGATGCACACGTGATGAGTACGTTCTTTTTGTTTCCTTCCCAGCATCTCCATGAAGGAGCTGAAGGCTCTGCTAGCTTTGCTCAACTACAAGGCCCCCAGCTCTCGTACTCTCAAAGACAAATTCCTGGTACTCTTGTTTTCTTCATTGTACATGTCACATTCTCATCGTTGTTGTGTTTGATTGATTCTAATCTAAAATTTTTAGACACCTCTGCCGCTCAGGCCTTAGAAACACACCTCCATGAATAAACCTTATTAGACAACATAGACATGGACAACCAGAGCTATAATCTATTCTATGATGCAAACTGCAGCATGTCTATCGTATCAGAAACTATCAGTGACTTATTAGACATGACCTTATTTGGAAATAAATATTCCAATGTGCTGTTGGTACTGTTGTAGTCCGAATCAGTGCCTTTTTGTTCTGCTTTCATAGGAAGTGGGAGCAAAGAAAGACCGCCTGGACTTTGAGCAGTTTCATAAATTATACAACCTTATAATGTTTGAACAGAATGAGGTAAGTCTGAACTGAACACAATAAAGTAAATCTGTATTACTGTACATGTCCTTTTTTTCAGCATTTTCATCCATATTATATTTTAAACATAGATCCTTGATGAGTTCAAAAAGGAATCATGTGCTTTTATTCTGGGGTGAGTGCCTGTTTTTCCTCATCTTTGTTTAACACTTGATTTTAACAAACAGTTTGTAGTTTGTGAGCATTGTTTGACTCTGTTTTTACTCTCCTCCATTATACAGTAACACAGATAAACCAGATGCCTCAGCAGTTCTGCTCCATGACTTCCAACGATTCCTCATCTACCAGCAAAAGGTAAAATACGCTACAATGAGTGATTAGTACAGCGCAAGTTCTTCATTACAGTTGCCAGCTGTGGATAATGGTCCGCATTTTGTCTGTAATAGCTTGACGCACTGGTCTGATACATGTCTGACACTTGCCACCTCCTTTCATTTAGCTCCACCAAAAACAAAGCACACAAATACTGATTTGGACATTGGTTACCATGGCAACAAATGAAGCTTCAAAGCATTCGTGTCAGCCCTATTATCGGTCTAACTGATTTTTCCATAAGTCACCTAATCAAAAAAACAAAAAACAACAACGACATAAATAAATAGCAGAAAATTCCCAGTTTCTCAAAATCCAAAGTGAAACAGCTTGAAAACTAGGTGGCACTGGAATCTGTACAATATTCTTAAGTCAATAAGATGTGTAAATAAAGATTTAAATTGGTATTGAATATTATATTTTTATCTTAGGATATTTAACAGGCATAATGATTCATGATAAAAACTCTACATTTGGCAGTACTTGTTTGCAAATATACTGTGGGCCAATGATTTAAAAATCTGTCTTGTATGAGTCAAAATAGATAAAAGTATATGACGTCCACGTTTTGATATCAGCTGGATAGTCCCGAAGGAAACATAGCGAACCAAAGTCAGTGGGCTTTATTGAAAGGTTATAGCGATGTGTCGTCAGCATCAAAAGGTAATGAGATGGCATTGTGGTAAATAATACTGACAAGCAGGAGCATACAGTAGGAAGGTTAAATAAAATAGGACCCAGAATTGATCCCTGAGGTACTCCAAACCCAGATGTGGATGATGATGAGATGTGACTGAGAACCAGTTTAGGATGATACCAGACATTTTGACCTCAAACTTTTGATTCTTAAACAAACAAATTCAAATTGTCATCATCAGTCATTCATCATCATGTGGCTAATGGTGTAATGATGATGTATGTGATTTTTTTTTTTTTTTACATCATATTTCATTGCATTTTCCTATTGACCGATATAATACATTTATTAATGTCATCATCATTGGTACCAATTTTTGGTATCAAATTCTAAGCATATCATCCTCAAACTTCACTGTAATGCTTGGTTTTATTCATAACTATTTATGTTCACATGATAGAACAGTGACGGTTGACAGTTTCTGCCATCATTTACAGTGAAGAAAAGTGACACATTGTAATTTTAGAAGACAGGCATAATTTCATTTATTGCCTAAATTTCTGTTTACCATTTTGAATGGAACATTAATAAAACATTTTCCAGGTAGACACCAATAACAAATAGCAATGCTAGTTTATACAATAACTTATAGCTATTGATAATCCAATAGTCCCACAAACTGTTCGGTCATTTGCTGGATATGCTTAAATATCTTTCTCTCTTTTTATCTGTGTCTGTTCATCCTTCAGGAAACCTGGGCCAGTGACCTGAACAAAGTTAGAGAACTGATGACTACCTTCATTGATGACACCATGAGAAAAACCAATGATCCGGAGTTCACCGTCAGTGAGGTATTCTGTTCTGTGTGTGTCTTGTCTGTAACAGAGAGAGAATATGCAAAGTCATATCAGACTTTGATATTGGTTACTGTATCTGCAAGGTGTTTTAATCAATCAAAAGTCAATTAAATGAATGCAGTTCAATGACCCAGCAAAAAATTTTGCATTAAAAGTATCATGAGAAAAGTGAGTGGTTAGTTTGAAACATAATGCTGGAAACGATGTTGTTGTTGTTATATTTGAAGTGTTATTATTACTAAAATGAATCATTCAAATCAGGAGGGACTGTGTTAACTCTAAAATCTGAAACATTTCTCCTCCTCTAGTTCCTTAGTTTCCTGTTTTCCAAGGAGAACTCTGTGTGGGATGAGAAGTACTCAGAGATCAGAAACTTGGACATGAACAACCCTCTGTCCCATTACTGGATCAGCTCCTCACACAACACGTCAGTATGACCACACACACACACAGACACACACACACACACACACACACACACACAACACACTATAATCTTGGGTGCCCATCTTGAAACTGTGCTGATTGTAAAGCTCCTCTGTGCTGCTGGGGGGGAAGATGTGTGTGAAACATCCATGTTTTCATAGACAGAAATGTTAACTGTATCTGCAACTTGATTGGTTTGCAGTGGCATACACCTGCAAGGGGGTAGTTCTAGTTTAGTTACAAGGTTGTTTCGTAAATCACACATTGATGGTGCAGCAATGTATTGTACCTGTTTTCTGACCATTTCACTTGAAGTTAATTGCTAGGCAACAGTTTAGGTCCAAGCGTACTTTCTATTAGCTGACAAGAAAACTATAAAACAGGTTCATTGTCAGCTAATGTAATTTAAATACACTGCAAACATTCAAACAGAAAATTTAAAGGGACCATTTAGTTGTTTTGTTTGTTTACGTTGTCAATTTTGGCTTCTTGGGGGCTCTGGGCTGAAAAAAATATTTCAAAGAGGGTACAATACTGAAAAAGTTCAGGGACCACTGATCTAGCATGTGTACTGTTTTGTGTGTTCTTCAACAGCTACCTGACAGGTGATCAGCTTCGAAGTGAGTCGTCCACAGAGGCTTATGTGCGCTGTCTGCGTCTTGGATGCCGTTGTGTTGAATGTCAGTATAAACCCACCCCATTGTGTTACATTTAGACCATGGATGTATTTTAGCTCACCTGTGGCAGTTACATTAGCAGCATTGGTCAGGACAAATCAATACGATGAGTGGGGATAAAATGATAATAATAATAAACAATAATTTTATATTTACAACACCTGTTTTTTTGTGCTTTGTGTGATACTCAATCTGTTCAGTGGACTGCTGGGAGGGGCCTGGGGAGCCAATAATCTACCACGGCTGGACCAGGACGACCAAGATCAAGTTTGAGGATGTGGTCAAGGCCATTAATAATCATGCTTTTGTCACATCAGAGTAAGAATTACAATTTGTTTTAATACTTTAATACTGTTTTTTGATGCACTGGTGATTTTTACATTTTGATTTTTTTTTTTTTTTTTTTTTTTACAGCTACCCATTGTGTCAATACATTGTCTTTATAAGCATGCTTCTTATCTCTCTCAGGTTCCCACTGATCCTCTCCATAGAGGAGCATTGCCCTCTAGAGCAGCAGCGTCAGATGGCTCGAATTTTCAAGGAAGTGTTTGGAGACAAACTGCTGACTGAACCTGTGGAGCAGATGGCTGAGCAGCTACCTTCACCTACACAGCTGAAGGGCAAGATCATACTTAAGGTATTGTGTGTGCATGTGTCTAAACATACTGATGTGTCAATGGAATTGGTACATCGATGAGAAAAGGTCTTGTTTTGTTATCATTACTAATGACTGTGCCCTCCCCTTCCTGCTTGTGCAGCACAAGAAGCTCAGTGTGGAGGGAGGAGGAGTAAGTAAGGACTTCAGGAAAGGGCAGAAACAGGGAGATCTGGAGATCTGGGACCCTGTGGACCAGGTACTGTCGGAGGGGTCAAATGGGTATGGCAAGAAAGCTGAGACTCCTTTAACTGGTATTAACCTGCATTAACTAACATCAGAATGCTCTGTGTTGAATTATTTTACATTACACCGAGGGCCTGTGGCACAAAACAATGTCAACTGCTTTGTGATCCAGATGGTTATCCGCTACCTCAGTTAACTTCTGTTTGGCTATGAGCATGTTTACATGAAAGTGGTGATGATGTTTTGGTGTTCATCATGATCAGACACCATACATTGGTATGCCTTCGTGGCCGGAGGCATTATGTTTTCGAGGTGTCTGTCTGATCATCCGTCTGTCTGTCTGTCTGTCTGTCTGTCCGTCCATCGCATTCATGTAATTGTGATATCTCATGAACAATGTCAAGGAATTTCTTCAAATCTGGAAAAATGTCCATTTGGACCCAACAATGGAGTGATTAGATTTTGTTGGTCACAATATCTACACAAGGTCACTTATGCACCTCCAGGGACAGTCCAGCGCTTCATCTAACCTGTGTATGGCAATAACAGAAAGTTTCTCTTTATCCAGTTGGGAATCGAATACGCAATCAACCGAGTAGATGCTCCTTCAGCGTTGGCCAGGACACTAACAGAGTGCAGACATTTGCAGCCCAGACCGCCTTTCAAATGCGGTTTGGGTGATCAGATCTCAAGATGCATTGATGATGGATGGGGTGCATTTATACCTGTACTTAGAGCTGTCCACTTGTGATCCAGTCACCCAGGATGCATGTTAACACATGAAAAAACAGGGCTGTAAATTCTATTACATTTAGGTCTGGTTTCACTAAAATTTCGCAGTTAAGTCTTTCTGATGTTAAATATTTTAGAGAGCTACATATACAGTATACAGTATGTGTGTTAGAACTACAAACACATTTGTAAATGAGATGTCGAATGCAAGCCTATTGTATGCTGCTCTGAAAGGTTTCCTGTATGAACAGCTTGTTTGCATGTGCAGTTAAACATGTACATTTTCATTTCTCCTTCTCAGCGGTGGAACAGGCACTACTGTGTGATCTCTGATGACAAGCTATACTATGCAGAGGAGTACGAAGACGAGGACGAAGATCCCAGGAAGGTAAAAGAGAGATTGGAAAGTCAACAGAATTTGAATACATTTTTTAAAATTTATTATTAACTTTAAGCTGTTTCATATAAAATATAACAAGTCCACAAGTGTTTTAATCAAAACATAAAGATCAGTGAAACATATCAATAAGAGGCAGTAAGGTTATGATTTTTATTGGATCAACTGTAAGGTTAAAGGTACCCAGTGAAATTGTTGACCACTGGTAGTGCTATGGAGTATTAAGTGTATGGTAAAATATGGAGTTTTTATGAGTGAGTTCCGTTATAACTTATATGGTGCTGGTAATGCACCCAGAAATGCAGCGAAGTGCTTATAGATGGGATTGGATAGAGGAAGAGTGCTGGCCAGCAGACATGAGCCCTTTTTAAATAGGAATTGTGCAAATTTGCAGGAGAGCCCAATCAGTCTTTTTTTCAGCATTGGCAGTATAAAAACAAAATTGGGGAGTGCAGCAAAATGCCGCCTACCTACTTTTGTTCATACAGAATACGCCTTTTTCGGCGTCCTTTGGCGATTCTCTCGTAAATTGGCTCGTTCTTCACCATCCCTGTCATTTGACGGTTAATGGCCTCTTCATTTGCGAGGGCAAGGAGGGCACGCAATTTCTTGTCTCCCCAGTTGCTCATCTTTACAGTAGTGTCAGGCTTGTGTTCCTCTCTTGCTACTAGCTGCTCATTCCTGCTATCAGCTGTTTCCTGTTTATCCACCGCCAGTGGGTCGCACGTGTGGCGTCATCAACAGCTCCTCCCACAAGTCATCAACAGCCCCTCCCGTGGCGGAAGGGTGCCTCGTTCTTTTTAAACCAAAATGATGGTAGAAGGGGCTATGGATTTAACAGTGCAGGTGTCAAAATAGTAAAAAATCAGCTTTGTGAATGTTTTATACATTAAATGTCAGGCGCCCACAATGCATTAGTGTGAGAAACACAAAATGTTAACATAACTTCAGGCTATATTTAACCAAAATCATTTTCTGATATGATTGTAATTATGATTATTGTTATTATTATTATTATCTAAGGTTTAGACTTTAGTCACATGACTTGGACTCGATTCAGACTCGAGCCACAAATCTGATGACTTAAGACTCGACTTAACATGGGGGCCTAAAATTACAGACCAAGATGCAACAACTTCCAACTTCCTTTGACATTTGAAGTTAAACAAAGAACAGTAATTCGAACTGTATGTTAACGTAGTTAGCGAGCTTAAGCTTAGCTAACATTAGCTTAACAGCTAAGGAACTTTTTAACAAATTTGTGTTAACAATTAGATGCAAATTTTAAAAAATAATCATAATTTTTGGAAATTCAATATTGGTATTACATTTGGTAAAGAACACATTATGAGTTGTTCAGGACTCGGGACTTGGCTTAGGACTTGCAAAACAATCACTTGGTCCCACCTCTGATTAATTATCATCAAAGGCTGGGCCCAGCAGTGATACAGGAAAATATGGGAGAAACAGGTTGTAGAATGATATATTGGTCAGTGATAATTTTCTTACAAACAAGAAGAAGAACCAATAACAAAGTGTGTATTTAAAACCATTGTTGTTCATATCTTTCTCAGTACCAGGACATGCACTGTTCAGAGCCATGGTTTCATGGTCACATGAGAGAGGGCAGGGTGATGGCTGAGCGACTGATCCAGGATTACTGTGCAGAGACTGGGGGAAGAGACGGCACCTTCTTGGTTCGACCGAGCGATACCTATGTCACAGACTTCACCCTCTCCTTTTGGTACAACTTCCAATTTGTTTGGTCTCGTGACCAGCTTCAGCAAAAACTTAAGGACTGTAGTTTGTCATGTAATACACAGTGCAATTGCAGGAAATACCTCTTCCAAAGGCTATGGCCCATAAAGGTTTGGCTGAACCTGTGCCTCCTCTTAAAATGAGATAATTCACCACAATGTAATGGAATACCGTACAGATTCATTTTTTTCTCCAGAATTGTGCAGAAGATTGCTACATTTGTCAGCCATATTTTGTCCCAATCTTAGCACATCCCTTGCCTCTATGTTGTGTGCGTTCACATCATGCAGGATGTCCCGATTCTTGTTGGATAGAGGTGTAGGGAGAACTGTAAGGGCTATATGGCATGGTTTTTCAGAGACACCCTCCAAACTGAGTGTTATGAGAAATAATTGGCAAGATGGCTGCATAAGCAACAAAAGAAATCCACAAATGGATTTTGTTCATTAATAAGGATTTAATAATTACAGCAACAATCATATTATCTTAGTTTAATGTTGTTTTAGTGTCTTATGGGCCTTATTTATTACAAATAACAAAAAGAAATCATTCAGGCACTGTATATAATAAGCCAAGCTCAAGTGTAGTGCAAGTTTGTGATTCAACATATTCCAATCTGGGGAAAACCTTCCTAACCTGTTGTCATGGGTCAACTCATTTCACCATTCTAATTTGAATTTAAATCACCAAAATCAAATTATTCAGCAGTATCTGAATTCCCAAACTATATCCAAATACTCCAGGGTCAGGAGGAGCTAAATTGTAGACTGTGCAAAAGTGTAATATATTTTCATCAATTGTATGTTGCTGTAAGCATGCATCTTCTGCATGTATTTCAGGCGCAGTGGGAGGGTCCAGCACTGTCGTATCCGCTCAGGCACAGAGGGGGGACACACTTACTACTACCTGACGCCAAACCTGCATTTTGCCACCGTGTACGCCGTGATCCAGCACTACAGAGAAAACCCGCTGCGCTGCCAAGACTTTGAACTGCGCCTCACTGACCCTGTACCACAGCCCAACCCACATCTACAAGAAGGGTTTGTATTATATGAACAAACATGAGTCTGATACATCACAGGAGACTTAATACACTAAAAATCATTCAAATAAAGCTAGCGATTAATTATGATATCTTGATAACATTTTTGTACATGAAAGCATTCATTCTATATTCCCATTTAGGGAAAACACTTTTTCACTCTTAAGCCAACAAATGCTATTGTTTATTATGATTAATGATATGATTATATAAATTAGTCTTTTTGTGTCTAGTACTGAGATATTGTAGGTTGCAGATATGTTTAGCTGAGCGTAGCATGTGGCCTCCAACACCTTCAAATAGGTTTTACTTACATGTATTATCTTGTTGTTTGGTAAGGTTGCCACCAAAGCACCAAGATTCACCTGTAATTTTGGTCATGGTTAAGTTACTAGAGTGGCAAAGGCTGACTTTTAACCTGCGATGGTCTATGGTTTATGGGAAACTGTTCTCCTAATACTCCTCCTGTTGGACTCATAATGGACAGTTTAAAAGAAAGGATCAGACTTAATGCAGCAGAGCAATATATTGTCTTTTTTTTATTTCACACATTCATCTTCTTCATTTACACCTAGTGCCTGCATTATCCACAATGCAACTTGACCAGCAGCAATTTTTTCAGGGATTTGGGTCTGTTATGCTAACAGCTGCTAATGTAGCCACAAGTACAAATGAGGAGCGAGCTACAGAGACCTGGTAACCAGAGGTTGGGGACTTGAATCACATGATTTGATTTGAGTTGAGTCGGACTCAAGTCACAAATTTTAGCACCTGAGACTTGCTTGACCAACATTGACAAACGACTTAACTTTTTTAGTTGGTATTCATGACTTGAGACTTGACTTAGACTTGAGACAAATGACACGAAAGGACTTGTCTTTTTTTATGCCTCCGCGCTGGCGATAGCTGTGGTAGGAGGCATTATGTTTCAGGTTGTCCGTCCATCCATCCCAATCTTGCGAACTTGATATCTGAAGAACGCCATTGGGGAATTTCTTAGATTTGCCACAAATGCCCACTTTGACTCAACGGTGATCTCATTAGAATTTGATGGTCAGAGGTCAAGGTCACTGTGACCATGTGCCCATCTCATTTTGTGAATGCGATATCTCAAAAGACCTTGAGGGAGTTTCGTCAAATTTGGCATAAACCTTCACTTGGACTCAAAAAGGAATTGATTAGAAATTTAGTGGTCAAAGGTCAAGGTCACTGTGACCTCACAAAGCATGTTTGTGGCCATAACTCAGGAATTCATATGCTAATGGTGACAAAATTTCACACAAATGTAGAATAGAACAAAATGATGAAGTGATGACATTTGACAAGTTCGTGGAGGCATACATCCACCAGGTGGTAATTCTAATTTAATTAAATATTTGTATCAGATATTGAGAAGTCAGTGACATGACAACTGCAACATCCCAATTCCTCTACTAAAACAAACTAGAAAGCTAAGGTTTGACCAGATCATCAGAACTGTATATGTTACCAACTTACCAAGTTGTGACTTGCTTCATCTGAACAGTGACTTGACTTGTCATGCTTGAGTTAGGCCCACAGCAGAGACTTATTTTGACTTGGTTCTCACCAGAGTAACTTAAGACTTAAAACTTGCACTTGTGTGACTTACTCCCATCTCTGCTGGTAGCCATGTTTAACTCAACACCCCCAGGTGGAGTGGAGTTTCGGTTCTGTGCTGGTGTGAAGTTCATTACAATCATCATTGTTCATACAGTGGGATTTGATCAGGTTTCATAATCACCAAGGGCCGTAGAATTTTCCCATCCCACTGACGAGCACCTGAAGTTGCTTCTACAATGTGTTCAGAGGGTACAATGAATGATTTTCATACTGATGTTGGTTTGGTATAGCTTCACCTCTCACATTTGCTTTGTGTCAACTACACATGCATGCCTTCTATTTTTCACTTCCACTCTCATACACCCACAAAAGGTCAGTAAGTCTCTCTCCTCTCTCTTTCTTCACTTTATTTTGAATCTATTTGAATAAACGTTACTGACATTAAAAGAACAATACCTCTTTTGTCAAAGCGGCATATTGTAGTGTCATCTAATACCACTGACATATGATAGAATACTTGTATTTTTGATAACACACACACATACACTAATACGTAACTGTTGTGTGTGTGTGCGTGTTGTGCAGGTGGTTCTACAGCAACCTAAGCAGAGGTCAGGCAGAGGATTACCTGCTGAGGATTCCTAGAGATGGAGCGTTCCTCATCCGGCAGAGAGAAGGAGAACCAGACTCTTTTGCCATCACATTCAGGTGCAATGACACCTAAGATTTTATTTCTCTTTGTTTTTTTTTTTTGTTTTTTTTTGTATTGATCGTCTCTGTCTTTCAGAGGTGATGGTAAGGTGAAACACTGTCGGATCCAGAAGGAGGGCAGCATGTATCTGCTGGGCACCACAACAGAGTTTGAGAGCCTGGTGGAGCTGGTCAACTACTTCAAGAAGAAGCCACTGTATCGCAAGATCAAGCTACGTTACCCAGTCACCCCTGAGCTGGTGGACCACTTCAGCACAGTGAGTTACTGTAGGAAACATACAGAGACTAGAGACAATGTTAAGAATTCCTGTAGAAACATTTACTGTAGCAGCAAATAGTAATAGAAAAGACAAATAGTTTGAATCAACATATTTTACAGACGTGTAACCAACAAGCCAGAACAAATTAAAATTATTGTCGCCAATGTGTCCTATCCATCCACTTTTATTTTGCTCAATGTTTAAGTCCTGCTACTGTACGTCTAATGCTAATATCAGATATGTTTCAAAACATGTCATCTGCACTGATTGGTACCTAACAGTGTATTGTGCTAACACAGGAAAAAGGCTGTGCCTCTCTGTATGAGGTGAAGACATATGTGGAACCTAACGAGATTGAGCCCTCACTGGTGTGTATACAACACTACACTCTGTCAGCCAGGGCTGTCTGTTCTCCTGTGCGGTTTCCTTTAGTAAAGACATTCATGATTGTGTGCGTTTGTCTCCTTTAGCCTCAAAGTACAGTCAAGGCTATATATAGCTACCAGGCTGAAAGGCCAGATGAGCTCAACTTCAGTAAAGGAGCTTTGATACACAACGTAACAAAGGAAAGTGATGGATGGTGAGTCCACCCACACACATGGAAAGCAACAGGCTTCATCAAAGATTGGTTCTGAGTCTTATTAGCCACTTTATTTCCCTGCATCATGCATATCCATCTGCATATATTTGGCTAGCATTGCCAACTGCAAAACCACACAAGAACAAATAAGACTGTTTACATTGTTCTCCTTGTTCTACTCGCTACAGGTGGAAAGGTGACCATGGTGGAAAGTTGCAGCTGTACTTCCCATCTAACTATGTAGAGGAAGTGTCCAGCAGCACCAAACCTGAGACCAAAGGACAGGTGAAGATTAGATTTTAAATCACAGTTTAAATGGAGGTCAATCAGCATAGCAACTGACTAAAAATAATATCTGCGTATGTGTGATGTGTATTTAAATAGGACATGGAAGACAACCCACTTGGTGAACTTTGCAAGGGTGTTGTGGACATCTCCAAGTGCAACATCCAAAATTGTGAGTTATTTTAGTGTCTGCTACATACTTTACATCCACAAAACCCTGAGGTTGAGTGCAAACACAAGTTTTTACTATCCTACACTGATGTTGCGTTTCCCAGGTAAACAACTAAAGTAATATGTATATACATATATATATGTACGAGTTAAAGGTTAAAGATCTTGACTTGCACACAACTGATATATTTCTCTCAAATTTTGGTCGTAAATTTGTTAAATTTCATTTAAGTTTTTGTTATCAAGATATATTTTTAGATCGTTGATGAAAAACTTTGGTCATAGTTTTTGTCCCAAAAATTAACACTGCACAACACGATGCCACAGATGTCGCAGGTTTTGAGGGAGCATGCCATTGGCATGTTGACTGCAGGAATGTCCCCCAGAGTTGCTGTTTCAGATCTCAGATTTTATTTGCACACCACACAGAATCAACATGTGTCAACAGTTACACAAGTACAAGACACAATTGTGTGGAGTGCCAGGTCTCCCATGAAGCTATTTAAAGCTTATGGCGGGAGCCTGATCAGGAAGATGAGTCAAGATGTATAGCAGTGACATGGTACAAGACATGTTACAAACACAAAACATATTGCAGACACAAAACAAAAACACACAAGACAAATCAACATACATTCCCAGATCAGTGAAGGATACTATACATATGAATTATTATTTTATTATTTTTTGTTTCAGTTTCTTCTTAAAAACAGAGATGGATTTAGATGTTTTCAGACTCTAATCGAGCCCATTCCAGATCTGCGGCCCCTTGGTTGTTATGCTTAGACTAGTGCATTTCAGTCGTCTTTTTTTTACCATGTATAAGATGTGTATTTCTGGTATTATAAATATGCGTGGGGCAGCTGACTGGGATGAGCTTGGAGAGTCTTGGATTCAAGTTATGGACAACTTGGTACATTGTAGAAGCATTTTGATGAACATTGAACTCAGCAAGCCTCAGGAGATTATAGTTATGGAAGAGGGAACTTGTGGGAGTGTTATAACCAGACCAGGTTATGGCTTGTATAATTTTCTTTTGTAAACTTTCTAATTTCTTCAGGTGACTAGGGAAGGTGTTGCACCAAATAATATTACAATAATTGATATGAGGCTCAAACAAGGTTTTGTATAAGATAAGGAGAGCAGGTAAAGGAAGGAAATATCGAAGTTTGAAAAATAGACCAACATATTTAGACAATTTAGTTAACAGATGCTCATTGTGACATTTGAAGTTGAGTGACTCATCTAGAGTTAGAGTGGAATACAATAAAGTTAGTCTTGCTGATGTTAAGCGATAATTTATTACATTTAAACCAGGAATCTACTTTTTGTAGTTCAGCATTAAATAGATCTTGAAGCTCATATGAGTTGTTATGGGACAAGAATAAATTTGTATCGTCAGCAAATATAACTTTATGCAGTAATTTAGAGGAATTAACAAAATCATTAATATAAAGGATGAAGAGCAATGGTCCCAAAATTGAACCTTGGGGGACCCCGTATTTGACATTAATTTTGTGAGACTGATAGTTGTATATGTCAACATACTGTTGTCTACAATGTAAATAGCTACTGAACCATTTGAGGGCCAGTCCTCTGATACCATAGTGGTGTAATTTCCCCAGTAAGATGTTAAAGTCGATGGTGTCGAAGGCCTTTGAGAGGTCCAGAAAATCACTCACTCCACAGTTCCCTTGATCAATAGCGTCATAAATTTTTTCTATAAGGTCTAAAATTGCCATACAAGTTGTATTCTTTTTTTCTGAAACCGTACTGAGAGCTGGTGAGTATATTATGCTTTTCAAGATATTTGCTGAGTCTGTTATAAACTCTCTCGAAAATCTTTGAGATAGCAGGCAAGACAGATACTGGACGATAGTTGGTGATACTATTTTTATCACCGGATTTATAAATTGGTATTACTCTTGCAATTTTGGTCATCTTCGGCACCACGCCAGAGAGAAATGATAGATTTATACAATATGCAAGTGGTTTGGCGACAGCAGGGGCTATTGCTATCAAGATTTTGCTACAGATTCCGTCCACACCAGCTGTACGAGAGTTGTTCAGCTTCTTGATGGCTCATTTCCATCAGTCGGTTTCATGAAAAAGGAGTTAGGATAGTCCCCTGTGAGATACTGGTTAAGTCCCCTGTGAGATACTGGTTATAAACTAAATGTTCATCTCACTACCATAAGATGTCCTTAGTGTTTTTTTTTTTCTTGAAACCAGCTTCACAAAGGCACAAGTCTGTTATGATGACGAACTGCTGTCAGGTCAAGACCCTGAGGATGATTAGCATGCAGATGAGCCTCCCTGAGATGTTTCAAGCAGTTTTGCAAACCAGCTGTTGCATCAGCCGTTTAGGTGGCTGATCTTAGAGGATCTTGCAGGTGTGAGGGCGGTTGGATGTACTGTCAAATTCACGAAAACGACATTGGAGACATCTTAAATTAGTGAAATAACATTCAGTTCATTGACAACAGCTCTGGTTGACATTCCAGCAGTCAGCATGCCAATGGCACGCTCCCTCAAAACTTGGGACATCTGTGTCATTCTGTTGTGTGATCAAACTGCACATTTTAGAGTGGCGTTTTATCATGACCATCCTAAGGCACACCTCTGTACTAATGATGCAGTTTACCAGCATCTTGATATGCCACACCTGTCAGGGGGATGGATGATCTTAGAAAAGGAGAAGTGCACACTGTCCAGGATTTGTGACCAAAATTTGAGAGAAATATATCTATTGACTACATGAAAAAGTCTTAGACCTTTAACTTAAAATTGTGAAAAATGGAACCAACAAAAGAGTTGCATTCAACTTTTGTTCAGTGTTTATAAATATACATAAAGAAAAAGAAGAAGCATCTTCCTACCAGCTTTTGTCTGGCACATTACTTAATTTCCTTCCACTACTACCACAATGAGTAGAAAGAGCATGAAGCCACTGGTGTGTTATATACTCATGAGTTTCAATTTTTGTTTGTATTTTGTGTGCATGTACTTGCAATCTGGTCATTAAAGCATTGCTCCTCTAGTGGTCACAAACCCCAAAGTGTACCATTAAGGGAAAATATGAAAATAGCATGAGAGATGATTCCAAAACTCAAGTTTCCTGACAACAAGAACTTTCAGAGAAGGGGTTAGCCAGTGACTGTGAATTATCTCTTTACAGGCCATTTAGGTTATTCCCACATTAAAGAATTAGGTCTTTGCATCTGGAGTGCTGCACATGCTGCATCACAAATATGTCTTCCCATGGTTTAATCTGTAAAAATCAGCTGAATCCCAAAGTCAAAATGGGAATTTGAATTTGCATTGTTTATATACAAATATGTGAGTTGTTCATCCCTCCTCACACTCCCTCACTGTGCCTCTTGTCCTCTCCCCTTGTTTCTAGTGAAGAATGGTAAAAATGGGAAGCCCAACGTGTTGACCCTGCAGGACGTGGAGCAGGACAGTCTGCAGTTTGACCTGGCAACAGATGCTCTGGAGGAGCTGTTTGAATGGTACCAAGTGGCCTGGGACATTACTCAGAGAGAGATGAGCAAGCAGTATAACAGGGAACAAGAGGTTAGTATCTCATGTTATACAGTGATACATGTAGAGGGAACATCTGGTATTTATAAACTATGGTTTTACATGTTGGCAGTCTGTGTCATGCTACTTCAGACAAAATCTAAGGACAGTATGAGACTGAAAACAGACTACACACTGTTTAACCACAACGGGGTGTTTTACTGGTGGTCTTGCAGCATCACTGTGCAAACAGGAAATGGCTGTTTTTCTGTCCAATCTCAGATCAGACAGCAGGAGGAAGTGGAGAAGAAGGCGGAGGTTGCCATGGAGATGTCGGACCTAGTGGTCTACTGTCAGCCACGTAGCAAGGAGAAGGACCGCTTTGGTAAACACATGCACACACTGAACGCAAACACCTGTGAACACAAGCAGGATGATGATGGGAGAACAGCTACAGTTAACAAACTTTACCAGAGCTTTGCAGTGGAAATATGCAAACGTAAACAGTCTGAATGTGTTAAGTTTAAGAACAGGCTAATTTTAACATTACTTTAAATTTCAGATATTGTCTACTTAGTGAGACATTCTTTCAGTATGATTAAAGGTGAAACTTTGCCAAGTTTCAACTAGCTTTGTATCATAACAGTGTGTATATTAATATCAGGTTTTCTATAGCTATAGTAGTTTTATGCACCCTGTATTTAATGTGTTCACTCTCTGTGTGTAATTATCATGTTTTTTAGACCACAATAATTGAACTTTGCCACTCGCATTATTTGGGTGTCTTTATTTCATTTTATTAGGACAGTATTCTTTATATAAGATATTTGTAAGAAAATACACCAGGAGTTATTAACGTAATAACACATAAGAGACAAAGAGACACATCTGTATGTCCAAGTGTAGAATCTGTCAAGTCAGAATGGGCTGAATAAATTTGCCTGAGTGTAGCTAAAGAGGAGACAGCTTCATTAACCGGCCTGCTAGCTAACTAACCAGCAGGCACAGTAACAGTGATATGTTCAGATAAAACCTCCTGGCGGAGTTGATGCTAGATAATCTCGATAGTTTTCGCCATAGAGCTTTCAAAGGGCTTTCCTGTCCTGGAAAGTGACTGAAAAAAGGTTTGTTCTTATTGACAGAAGCAAGCTTCAAGCTTCTAGCTGTATCCGCCAGCTTCCAGTTTTTATGCTAAACAAAGCTAAGCTAACTATCTCCTGGCAGCAATGGCGGAAAGTAACTAAGTACATTTACTCATGATTTGTACTTGAGTACAGTTTTAGGACGCTGTGTAAAACCTAAATAAAAACGACGAGAATCACATTAGCTTTAAATTAAAAGTTGGATGACGTTAAAAAGATGTGGGTCCCTTCATCGCCTTTTAGAAAAAACTTCACACCAAACCTGACTCTACTCATCTGACATCCCAGAGGAATCGGACTTAAGCTGCATAATTATTTCTTCCTCATCCCAACCTTAATTTTTTTTCTTGATTTAATGTATTAATTCTATTCTTACTTATTTACTTGATGCTAAGTTATTTGTTTTTGATTTTGTTATCTTTGTATGGGCAGGTAAGTCCATCATGTTCTGTCTACTGGTTTATGTTGTGGAACATTAAGTTACAGCCCTGTACCATTTCATAATTTCAAAAATGCCTCGATTCAAATTACATGTGTGGGAAAACACTTCAATAAAAACAGAATGCAATGATTTGGAAATGCTTTTCGACATTTAATAGAATATAGTATACACACAAGATATTTAACGCTCAAACTGATAAACTTGTTTTTTGTAAATAAACACTCATTATGAATTAGATGCCTGCACTTCCCAACTTTTTTGTAACAAATTCAGAATGAGGGTATATTTACAAAAACAAAAGCTTATCAGTGTGAACCTTAAATATTTCGTCTTTGGACTGTATTCAACTGAATATAAAAACAAAAAGATTTGCAAATCATTGCATTCTGTTTTTATTTACGTTTTATTTAGTGTCCCAACTTTTTTGGAATCAGGGTTGTGTTTGTCCTTAACTCGAGTATTTCTATCTTATGCTGTTCTGTTCTCTACTTGTATTTATTTAACAGCTGTAGTTACTCTGCAGATTCAGATAAGTAATAAAAAAATTTCTTACAAATTTCTTAAAACTATAATCCATTACACAAAGAAATGCAATTAATGTATCACGACATACAAGTTGTAATATAGGCTACAGGTAATGGGCCTACAGGTGACCAGTGAGAAGACAGTGTATTTGTGAAGACTTTTTAGCAGAAAAAATCTGAAATGCAAAAACAGGAAAACTGAATGTTTTGAGCCGAGGCACATCACCTAATTCAGTGAAGATCTACCTTTACTGTTCTTCAACCACAACTCAAAGTTCCCCAGTAAACAGGATATTACCACATGGAGAGATGTAAAGACTAGACAGCTTCCTGTGTTACGCCGATCTAAATTTAGAAATACACAAAATTTTGCATAGCGTACATCCACACCACAACAGTCTATCAAGTTACTGTTGTTTCGGTTGTTACATATCTAGTGGTTATTTGCTCATTAGTCCACTACCATAACATTAGTATAGTCTAAATGGTTTGGGAGCTCCCGAGGAAATAAGACGAATCATCTATCCTGCCCTGAAGAGGCTGTGCCCTCATAAATCTACTGAGGTTTCTGAAAGATGACACCATTGTCTAATCCTGGCCTACCTTTAAACCACCCTTGAATTCTACTCTTACCCAAACAATGAGCACATACTCAACGACTTGACCTTGCCTTATATCTACATAGTATTGTATTGGGCTATATTACATGATCTGGCTCTCTCAGTTGTCCAGCCATCATCACTGTTTAGTGCTCCACAAAAGCTTGTAGCTGGATTTATGCTTCTGCATTGAATTGTTGCCGTACCTACTGCGTAGGATCTGCGGAGATGTGTACCCTGACTGACATACACCTCCAGGGGCGCTGCCAGGAATTTTGGGCCCCATGAAAAAAAAACATTGGGCCCCCCCTACACAGCTGTCACCACATCTCTAGGACCTAACTGACCCATTAAAAGCTTTACATAAGTAACTTTGAAGGCTTGCAACTGTCTTGCTTCTTGTAGTTCAATACTACCAGTACAATATTTACTGCTAGTGAGTTGTACATGCAACAGTCTGCATACAGTATGCAATCACAGACTATAGGCTACCCACCTTTCTTGGAGAAAAACTGGGTCACATATTGACACCCTTTCTTTTGCCTCTCCTCTCTCTCCTTTCGCTCTTTCCTTTTTTGAAAACTTGTTGTAAGCTACTGTCATTACCTGCATCTCTCTCTCTCTCTCTCTCTCTCTCTCTCTCTCTCTGTCTCATTGTGTCATGTGGATTACTGTTAATTTATTATGCTGATCTGTTCTGTACGACATCTATTGCACGTCTGTCCGTCCTGGAAGAGGGATCCCTCCTCAGTTGCTCTTCCTGAGGTTTCTACTGTTTTTTTTCCCCATTAAAGGGTTTTTTTTGTGGAGTTTTTCCTTATCCGCTGCGAGGGTCATAAGGACAGAGGGATGTCGTATGCTGTAAAGCCCTGTGAGGCAAATTGTGATTTGTGATATTGGGCTTTATAAATGAAATTGATTGATTTAATTGATTGATTGATTTCACAGACTGCTTCTGTCCAGGAGTAGACCTGTGCAACTCAATCCAGAATTTGACCCAACTTTCAAACTGTGCAACCGAGACCTAGCAACCCCTTTTTATTCATTGTGGGCTTCCCAGATATGAGACGATTTTGGGCTAAGAAAGTACGGCAACCATTTCTGGACACATATAATGTCTATACAACAGTAAATATAACTTGATGCCTGTAACTGATAACCATAACAGCATATAATATATTCATATTATTTATTATTCACATTTATAACTTGTGTGTGTAGCATCATCAGCTAACAACCAGCTAATGACATGTTCCACTGCCTGGTACATAGTTATCACTGGCAGCAAGCTTGACCCAAAAATCAAACCCAGCAGTTTTCCCTCACCTACCTACTAACAAATGTGAGGTCACACACTAAAGATAAAGAAAGTATAATCACAGGTATATTAACTGTCCACAGTTTCAGTCCTGTTTATTGGTCTGTTGGTATCAGCTGATATGGCATGAAACTATTATCAACTCAACCTGTACTTCTCAAGTGACCGCTCTTTTTTTGGCTCCACAGACAGTTACAGCTATAAAGAGATCCGCTCCTTCGTGGAGAACAAGATCCCAGGAAAGAGTCGCACCAAGGACTTCCTGCGCTACAACCGCAAGGCTCTGAGTCGCATCTACCCAAAAGGCCAGCGTGTGGAGTCCTCCAACTACGACCCTTACCCACTGTGGGCCGTTGGCAGTCACATGGTGGCTCTCAACTACCAGACTGCAGGTACAGTAGTTTATCTGGGCTGAGCTTCTGGAAAAGACAACTGTAGAGGAAAATATAGGGGTCCATACAACATTTGTGCTCTTGTCTGTCCATCTTTACATGTTGTAGGGGACATACTAGCCCCATGTCTGACATTTGTGCACTCCGTGACTTGAACAGACTTCTCAGCGCAAACCTTACATTTGTGACCAGAGATGACACTTCCAGTAGGCTTGGATAGCGGTCGAAGTATACAGCTCACACAGTGAATAAAATAACAGTGGGGCTAGGTTGCAAAAACAGATATCAAACTCAAGTACAAGCATGTGCATACAAGTGAGCAAATGGCAGTAACGTTTGCAAAATGAATGTAATTATAAGTTAAAAGTGAAAGAGATGTACTGTACTGCATTGTGCCAGAAGTTACAGAAAATATAATTATTAAGTCCAGTTAGCAAGTCCAGTAGGATCTCAGCATCCTCCCAGTCCACTAACTACACAGTCGGTGGAACTCCATGGAGATATAAATCCCTGGCCGACTCCTTTCTCAACTAGAACCTCGTTGAGGGGTTTGCTCTGCTGGCCTCTCTAAGTATCTCGTTGAGGTTCTTAGCGTCTCTCCACCTTATGCTCTGTCCTGAGCACGCAGCAACATAGAAGATAATGATGGCCACCAGAGGCTGGTAGGACCAGCATCTTAGAAGTTGAGGCCTCTGAGCCACCACAGGAAGTAGAGCCATCCGGTTTGATTTGGCAGTGGCAACCTCTTTTGCGACCGCATGCCTTTGCTGATGTAGTCCCCAGCAGGATTCCTGGAAGACAAGTGCTCTAACCACTACACTAAACAAACTTAAACAAATACATAAACAAATACTCTGTTGCGTAGATAGGGAGATATGCTGTCTCTCCGCCCCCCACTCTCCCACAAATTGGCCATTTAGGTGACATTCCCACACCACCGCACAATACTGCGGCTAATTGCTGCAGTGCCAGATGTGGTGTGAATGCAGCCTTAGTCCTGCAGACAGACAGTTGTACACTGATACACCTCACAATGACAGAGTCATTAGTGGGCATCAGCAGGTGGCATGACTGAAGTCAGAGGTGTAAAGAGTAGACAGAAAGGAGGGGAGGACAGTCCCCTGGTGGGCCCTGTGTTGCTCATCACAGTTCCTGATATGCAGATCCTCACTAAGTTAGAGGAATAATATGGTAGAGATAGGGGTCCCAAGTTTTGTGGAATCTTTTCACAGATCATCTGACTGTGTACTTTATTTTTCCTAGGTGGAGAAAAGACATTAAATCATTTAACCTTTAATCCAAATCCTTTATTTTGTTTATTTATTTGTTTATTTATGTATTCCCTTCTTCTTTATCTCTTCTGGCACTCAACAAAGTGTGATCTGTACCCATTAGGACATTTGGGAAGGTGGGTGGGAGGGTGATTTCAGGGTGTTTGGTTCGTAATGCTTTGTTTGTTTCTATGTTTGTCTATGGGTTGACAAATTCAAAACTCCAGAAAAATGTCAGACTGCTGCAACAAGTACCTGCACTGTCTATTACTTGCTTTGAAGTCTGTTTAATAAATATACTTAAAAAATCAATATCAGTTAACATGTATGCTATATTTGGAATACTTTCATTGCTTTACTTTATACACTAACTAACAGTGGCAGCAGTAGGCCAGTGACTCCCGTGGTCTAACACTACTGTGTTTGTCAACAGAGTCTGGTGGCTTTGAGATAACGGCTTCAGTTTCCTGACAGAAAATGCTGTCTGACAGCAAGTAATGCTGTGAAAATATTTGAAATATAATGTACACTTAAACTGATACTGTATATATATATATATTTTTTTTTTACGTGGGCCTTTTATTGTAGGTTGTGGGTTATGTGAACTTTCATTAAAATAAGGGAAAGAGTCCTGAGGTGGAAACAGGGGAGAAAGAGAGACAGAGCAGACAGTACTTGAAAGTGTTTTATATGGATTTATGTAATGAGGAGTGTATGCACTTTTTCCAACAATTTCAATACTGGCTGCCTAAAGGTAAAGTGAAACTGTGTTTTCAGCCTTGTTATATGGCACATATGTAGAGCGGAGCTTTATATAATGTGTATGTGTCCACCCAGATAAATACACCCAACTGAACAGTGCCCTCTTCAGTCTGAATGGACGTACGGGTTATGTGCTGCAGCCGGAGCTAATGCGCGCTGATAACTACGACCCTTACCAGGAGAAGAAGAAGGTCAAGTACGACATTGCAGTTAGGGTATGTCTGTAAACAAACACACATATTTTTTTTAAATAACTGGCTAACACATACATCATCATCGTTATCATCATCATTATGAGGTTGCTTCAGTACAGAGATACTCAGCTTGCTTTGCCCAGGGGCCACTTTTGCAAAATAACAGGAGGCCAAGAGCCAGTTAATAAGCAAACATTAATAATTAAGATTTGAATAATTAGCCCAGATCTTTGTCAGGAGGTCCGGGGATCCTTCCCTGGCATTTTTTTTATGTATATAAACAGGCTCCGTTTTCATGTATTTTAATGCACTCTGGCGCCTTATTTACATTTAAGTGCAAAAATTACCAGCGTGAATCAATTTATTTTCAGTGAGAATCAGGGGATGGCTAGATGGCCATCTGGCACAATATGGCAGGCCAGATTTGGTCAGTCTAGGACATAGACTGTATATAAAGATGGACAACAGGACAGCTCACCAAACGTGAAGCCAAAGCATGTTGATCGCTCCCTGTTGGCAAAGTACCTGCCCCCTCCATGTTAGTGGATGGGACATGGGCCAAACCAAAAAATCAAGCTACACGTCAAATACATGTTTAGAAGGTTCTTATCACGCTGATGTATATTCCAGTGTTAATCTCTCTGATAACTTTGGTTTTAATTAGCTTTTTTTAATGCTAAAAAGGGGGGTTGATGTCATGATTGACAGCTGTGCGTGCCAATCGGTATGCTTGTGATGAATGGTGCTGCTCATGATTAATCGATAGTGAATGTGCGGGACCGTGATACTGCAGAGATCACTGCTGCATATAGATGTATAGTAATACTTAGCAAGGGGAAGAGTCTAATGGAATTGCTCGCCTGGCACATAAAGATCTGTGACACCATCACAATATAAAGTCAGTGAGCTGAGGGGGAACTTGTGGGCGGGGTCAGCAGAGGAAACAACATTGCGTATATTCAGCAAAGGGTAAAGTAAACCTGGAAGCTAAAAACTTTTTTTTGGCATATGCACCAAGCGAGCAACTCCACTGGAATAAACAGGCACCAACTTGACACCTGGTATCTAGGTATTATTATATACCTATGGACAGTGCCCGTATCCAGGATATTTGGCTTCATTTTTGCACAGTAGGAGGAAGTGTCGTCCATCTTTGTATACAGACATTGTTTTGGGATTTATTAAGTTTAGGGCCAAGTGTAATACTTTGACAGCCACACTGTGTCATTATGTGAGAGGTGCATGATCATGGCTGATCTTTACTTTGTTATAAAGTAAGTTATTGCTGTATGAATAGCAGCATATTGATATTTTGCTAGTTCATCTGGAGAGAACCTGATAACAGCAGTTGCGTTTGTCTGCAGGTGATTGCTGCCAGACACCTTCCTAAGCCCGGCCGCAGCATCGCCAGTCCATTTGTGGAGATTGAGCTGTGTGGTCACACAGAGGAGAAGTTCAAGACTATTGTCTACCGTAAGGAGGGGGAAATGGGGAGGGTGACGTGACGGAAAGAGGGGAGAGGAAGAGATGAGACTGGAGTGAGAAATTATTTCTGATCATGTTAACAGTGCTGTCGTTCTGTCGCCTGCAGGTGATAATGGTCTGAATCCAGTATGGAAATCCCCAGCAGACGCTGTAATTTTCACAGTGTATGAGCCTGAACTCACCTTCTTGCGTTTTGTAGTCAACGAGGAGGACATGTTCTCAGACCCCAACTTCCTGGCTCAGGCCACATTTCCTGTCAAAGGCATCCGCTCAGGTGGGGACATGCACATACAGCACAGAGGGCCAGAGTTGGTCAATGGCTGCTCACATGAAGCTCATAAGTATTATCAAGCAACACTATTACTTTACCAATTATTTATTCCCAGAACTAGGTTTTCTGTGCACTATACATAATTTATACATTAATCACTTTTCGGTTCTACCTTCTCTTTTATCTCTTTTGAGACAGTTCCACATACAGTATGAGTGATCAGTAAAGAGAAATCATTTGTCAAATGTTCCTACCCGCATTTGACAAATGGTGTGAATATTTTCACTCAGGAAGTGTGAACAACTGTATATTATGTATACACAGTATCACCTCCACCCATTTTCCAAAGAATACAATAGTGTTTTGAATATGATTTGAATATCTTCCACTGGTTTCACTGCAGTATGAAAATCAACCTGTAGAAACATGCTTGAAATAGTTAATCCATCACAGTGACCATCAGGGCTGCTTTTAAAGCTCTGCTGCACAATGATGAAGCAAAATGCAAAAGTGTCTGTATCATCACTTAACAATAATATAACTTTGATTACAGCAGACAGACAGTGAGTGAATGGACATTAGTGGCTGCCTGCCAGGTATGAAAGCCACAGGTTTACTGTCTGTTTTGTGTCAGTTTAAAGATTTTAAACTCATTTGGGTGAGCTTCAACTGATTTTGGGGCCAGTGGTGTAGGTTCAGAAGTCAGGGGCAGCTGGTCGTGAAAGTTAATTTAGCCCTTAGCACATAGTAATAGCTGAAGATGCTGTTGATGAACATACTGTATCAATAGGTCTGTTTGTTTTGGAGAGGAAGAGACTTCTGGGGACAATTCTACTCCCAGTAAAAACCTCCTGAACAATGAACACTGAAGGAATTCTAACCAGGAGAAGTTTCAGCTGGACTGGAAACCAATTAAAAGGCCCCTAAACCCATTACATAAAAAGCCAGATGTTAGCGGGTATTGGTGGGTTTTTTGTGCCATGGGAAAGGAGCTTAACAGAAATAAAGCCGCAGAAATATGACGATTGGACCCACCCAACAAACAGAAATAACAAAGGTACAAGTCTAAATCATAGCAGTCACCACCCCACAGCTGCTGTCAAGGCTGGAAGATAAAAGAGAGTGAGCCAAAGTCCCTGCCCCCCCTCCTCTATGGGTTTTCCCCTTTAATCAGGCCAACCAGATCCACCTGAGAGGAAACACAAGATAAACAAATCAGTCACAAGCATATGCACATACACATCATATCCAGTAGAGGGAGAGCATGTAACAAGAGGCACTGGCAAAATATACTTAAGGTGCCATGTATAGTTTGCAGTGTGCCTGATGGGTACATAAATGCAACAGATGTGCAGAGAGGGAGATGAATAAATGGAGGGTCAGTGGGGGCCCTCAGCTCCATTTTTCTCTGGACCTCCCAGCAGCTTTATCTGGCTCTACAGCAGTAATGTAAATAACATGAGAATTGTATTGAATGGGCGACAACAATTAAAAACACAGGTGTGGTCCTTTATTTTGTAGTTTGATATGATTGATTGATATGTACTGTTAATAAGAGGCTTAACTGTGTGCGCACAGAGCTGACTCAAAATGTTGTTTCTGCAGGTTACCGCTCTGTACCTCTAAAGAATGGCTACAGTGAAGACTTAGAGTTAGCCTCTCTGCTGGTCTACATCAATGTACAACAAGCAGGGGTGAGCAAACACACACACACACACACACACACACACCAGTGATGATTTACATCTTCACTTTGATGTCAGTATGGAGATATTTCAGTAAACGTGATCACATGATTTGTCCTTCAGAGAGCGGAAGAGGAGCTGTACTCATCCTCCAGCCAGCTGAAGAAAAAGCAGGTGGAGCTCAGCGAACCTTTTCTGTATGACACACACACCAACATTCAGCGCGCCGCCGTCCCTCGCCAACATAACCACCTCATGAGAGAGGGCAGCACCAGCGAAAACCACAGGTTAGCCTCAAACTCACAACTGGGCAGTTATTGTAAATGAAATTAAATGTGTAAAGTTCCCAAATATTTCCACTATATTTTCTTTGTGCCTCAGGACAAAAGAAAAGAAGGTAAACAACAGTAAGTTCTACTCATGAAGACTCAGCAGAACTCACCTGTCTACTTCCTTCCTGCTTGAGTGGTGGAGAAATGCGGACTACAAATCTAACATCACCCCATCTGCTTACTCAAGCAATTGTGATCTTTCCAAATGTGACGTGTTACCATTTTTCATTTTCATACCAAAAAAAAAGTTTTCTATTTATTTAAGATAACAAATCAATATTTGTAATATTTTCTCAAATATGGAAATATAATGCACGTCTCGAGAGGTTATTTCCCTAAAAGCCCTCTGGGAAATGTAGGAAACCATTAAACCATGAAGTAGAACTAGATGAGGCAGGTTGGGGGAAGGTGAATTGTGCAACCCCTTCTGAACAGATAATATGTGAGGTTGTGACATTTCCTCGGAGGAGTCCCCACAGACAGCCATTGTAGTGCTTAATAATTGCATTCAGCCGGTAATCAAACTGCATTGCTTTAGAGGTGGACAACACTGATACTTATATTTATTTTCAATTAAACAAGAATGTAACTGAAAAAATGTACTGATACAACCCTTTTGTTTTCACTCCCATTATATCACAGGTGTCAGTTAAAGATCTGAGACTTTTTTTCATGCAGTCAATAGATGTATATCTCTCAAAGTTTGGTCACAAATTACAGTAACTGAAATAATTGTCAGTTAGCACTTATCCTTTTTCAAGACAATCCATCCACCTGACAGATGCGACACATCAAGATGCTGATTAAACAGTGTCATTGCCACACAGGTATGCCTTTGGATGGACACAATAAAAAATAATAAACTCTAAAATGTGCAGTTTGATCCCACAACACAATGACACAGATGTTCTCCATAAGTTCTCCAATATTGTTTCAGTGTATTTGGCAGTACATCCAACCACCCTCACAACTGCAGACCATGTGTAACCACACCAGCTCAGGACCACCATATCCTGTGTCTTCACCTGTATTGTGATCTGCATCGGACAGCTGATGCAATACCTGGTTTGCACAACTGGAAAATTTCTGCACAAACTGTCAGAAACTGTCTCAGGGAAGCTCATCTGCATGCTCACCATCCTCACCAGGGTCTTTACCTGACAGCAGTTTGTCAATTAAAGGACTTGTGCTGCCAAATTTATTGGAGACAGCTTGTGGTAATGAAATGAACATTCAGTTCATGGGCAGCAGCTCTGATGGACACTCCTGCAGTCAGTAGTCCAATAGTACGCTCCCTCAAAACTTGTGTCATCTGCATCATTGTGTTGTGTGATCAAACTGCACATTTTAGAGTGTTCTTTTATTGTGACCATCCCAAGGCACACTTGTGTATTAATGATGTTGTTTAATCAGCATATGTCACACCTGTCAGGTGGATGGATAATCTTGGAAAAGGTGAAGTGCCCACTGACCAGGATTTTAACAAATTTGCGACCACAATTTGAGAGATATATATTGAGTGCATAAAAAAAGTCTGAGATCTTTAACTTAAACCTGTGAAAAATGGAAGCAAATACAAAAGTGTTGTGTTTAAATTATTGTTCAGTATAGTTTCATTGCAGTACAGCAGACTGCTCTTCTGCCAGAGAGCTTCTGTTGAATTAATCTTTTTTTGTGTGTCTTAATTTCAAATCCTGATGAGTGTAAAACGACTGATATGGTGTGTGACACACAGGCTGCCGTGTGAGTCTTACAACATAGAAAAGCTGTTTTCTTTGCACTGTAATGTGTTGTTTCTTTGAAAGTGAAGCCGGAGTAGTGAAAACAGGTGATGAAATGAGAATATTTCATGTATTTAATTTGAAGCCAGGTGATGTTTATAGCTTTCCTATAACTCCTCTGACACCTCCTAATGAATTGAGTCAATAAAGTTTGCTTGGTGAACTATACCTCGTGTCTGTTAATAATTTAATTTTCCTATTTCGCATAGCTGTGTTGGATAGTATTCACTTTAATATTAAACATGTATTCATGCTGTTAACATTAAATAGTTTAGCAGGCTGTCCAAAAAGCTGGCCATTATACATTTCCCAATGTAAGTCTATGGGAAAAAGTCTTTTTTGGCCCAATGGCATCACATGATGGGCTTGTGAGTTGATATTCCACTATTTGACCACTATGAAAATTCCATCAACACCTGGCATGCTTCCTGGGGGCCTGGTGGCCACTTGCAGTATTACAGAGAAAAAAAATCCCCTGCAAAAAGCATTTTCCCCATAGGCCATTATTATAAAGGAGACGTCTGTAAAATGTGACGTTTGTGATGTCATCATATTGTAAAGTTTATGAGCCAAGCGAGAACTCTCAGGTGAAGCCAGGGAGAAACACTACTGCACATATTCAATGGGCCACATACCGCGGAAGTAAACCCAGAAGCTAGAAATTTTTTTGCCGAATGCTCCAGGCAAGCAACTTCATTTGAATGAATAGGCGCCACCCTGACATCCAGTATCTGGATATTATTATACACTGCAGAGCCATATTAACCAGTTCTCACACACAAGGCTACCATACAAGGTGCCATCACCTTAACATTAACATTTCAATCTGAGGTGCAGTATATTGCCCAAGGATACTTCGACATGCAGACTGGAGGAGCAAGGGATCAAACACCCTATTATCCAATTAGCGGATGATCTTCTCTACCTCCTGAGCCACAGCTAGAGTTAAAGTCTGTTGAGCATACATGGTGCAAACCTACTGACTTCTGAGATCAGTTGTATAATGTCTGTGTAAGGAAATTATTTAGGTGAGTTCAGATATCCCAGGATGGACTTGTAGTAATTAAGTTTAAGGTCATACACACTGAAAGATGCAGGTGTTTACCATGCAGAGAAGAACAATATGGAGTTGGTTTATGGAAAGTGTAGAATTAACACTAGGGACTGCAAAAAGACTAAAAGTCAGTCTCTGCTGTGTTAATTTTGACCATTTTTTAAAACAAATCCTCGTCTGTAAGTCAATCAATCCTATGCATGTGCAATTCCAAATTGCTGGAGTACTCATTTGAAACTATATCAGATGTACACACTTAGATGAATATAGATGGATTTCCTGTTGTAGACAGTCTGTATCATCTGGAGGACACCCTATGTCTGTGTAGGTGTTTGTGTGCAACTGGTATTCCGAGGCAGGGAACACCACACAGCTATCACATGATCACAAGAAATTCAAATGTTGCCATTTCACTTGCATCAAATTCATTTCAATTTGTTTCAGTTAGAAATGAGTTTATGCTGAACAGCTATAATGAGGTCATGTGGACGTGTATCTTCAGCTAAATGGGGCAGGGTGTGTAGGTAAATGCTACATCACTTTATCAGTGAAAATGTCTGGGTGTGTGGCTTACACTGAAACACCTAATGTGTCAGTGTGCGTCACCGTTACAACCCTGTAGTGACATCCCTCCAAGCTATTCAGTGTCTGTTTATGTGTGGAATGGGTGCTTGTGTTTATCGTCTGTGCTATTTATTGTAATGTCCTCATTGTGTGTGTGTGTGTGTGTGTGTTTATTCTTAGTTCTATCAGTCTGTCACAGACCTCATTATCATCCTGTTTTCTGCTCTGCGCCAGACAATACAGCTGCCATCACAAGCTATCTGTGGATACCAAGATATGTAACACGATGCAGTGAGCCTTCGAGTCACACCAACAGACTCTGTGTCTCTCAGTCTGCAACCACACAGTCCAGTTTATATTTTATGCTTCAAGAAAGGCAAAGCAAAGACAAACTGGAGGCTGAACTGGCCACTACAACACTGTTTAGTATTGCAGCAACAATACAAAATTTAAAACAAATGTAGGCACATTAATTGTGCACTCCCTACAAATTCGTCATCTGCAGAGGAATTAATTTCATTTTGGGGAGTTAGGTCCAGGTATTCTCTGGTGGTGTGCATGTTAATGCTTTGGTGCAGGGGTCTGGGCACGCGTGCCACCACTGGCCAAGCTGTTCGACCTCTGAACACCCTGCATCCACACATCCTAAAGGTTCATCCCCCCTCCCCATTCTACAGAAACCCTGCACTACTACACTTTACACTCGACATTGTCACCTGCAGTGCATCCATGACTCTCATGCATAGTTAGTCTACACTGCTATTTATTTATATTCATATTCATATTCATTTAACCTGTCATTTATTCCATTATGCACTTTAAATACCAGATGCCTCTTAGTCCAGGGCTCCTTACATTCTAAGTGTGCTTTTATTTATTTGTATATGTATATATGTACACATGTATGTGTATAAGCATGTATATGTATATACGTGTGATGCGTATATATCTTTTATAACTTGACGTGATGTGTATGTGTATATATATATTTTTTGTAACTTTTGATCTTTATATTTTTAAACTTGCAGTGTGTGATATGTGTATATTATTTGCTGCAGCTTCATTTTCACAACAACGGACACACTCTCTCTCTCAGGGCCCATCTGAGAGGGTTTTGGGGGCAGTGTATAGTGCCTTTATAGGAGTTTTAAAGGGGTTTATAGTTGTCATTGGAAAATGTGTCATTATGAGTGGCCTTCAGGGCCCCTTTTCTCCAATTTTATTTGGGGGCCCCAAATATTTGCCTGGTTTGCTTCTACCGATGCTGCACCTCTGACCACAGTACGCACAGTATTCCTAAATAGAAGTCTATAGATGATGTCACACACCTTTGAGACACATGGAATGCAACCATTTGTTTGGCCCTTTGACTCTTTGACCAAAAAATCATCTTCCCATATGACTCACAGGTCATCTTCCAGTTAAAGTTAGGTGGGGCCTCTGGCTCACTAGACTTCTTCTTTATCATGACACAATGTGAAATATTTCTACAGTCACTTTGTGTTTTGAGCTAAACATGAACATCAGAATGCTAACATGCTAATAATTACAATGCTGACATACTGATGTTACACAGATATGTTTACCATGTTCTGTACAACTGAGTCTGTATTGTATTTGATTTAATAAAGTATTTGAATTTTAACCCAATGATGGCGTCAGACGAAAAGGTAGCAGTTCAGCTAAGTCATTAAGAAGCAGCATTTGGACACCATGAATGTCTGGACCAACTGTTGTGCTTGTCTATCCAGTAAATATCCAGAGATATTCTATGATGTTCTGTGAGGAAGCAATATAAATACAACACATCCAGCATGAACACAGTTATATAATGTGATATAGCCTAAATGATGGATGTCATGCTGTCACTTACATGATTCACTTAAGCTGATTAAGGATTTTTATATCCAACTCATGTAGGGACTTCTGTGGTTGGTGTTTTTGATCAGGATTTAAAAGTAAATGGAAGGTAAATAGGTGTAGAAGTTCAAAAGTCCAGCAACCTCATTCCAAAAAAAAAAAAAAAAAAAAAATCCTATTTTATTGTCAGATAGGAATTTAGTTATTACAGAACTGTCCTAACTTTGGGATTTCCCAAATTAGGCCCTGTTCTAGATTACTAATAACTTCTAAAAATAGTAGTAGTACTGTTGTAAGGACAATGAAGACGGGGAACAACATGTACACTAAAAAATAATGACTGAAAGGCTACTCAAACAGTATGATGACAGCTCACATTTCCTAGACCATGTAATAATGGGTATATGGACACCATAATGATTGATTTAGTATTTGATCAATGTGCTACGCCTGGCTCTGGAGAGACTCCTTGTAGCTGAAACTGATCTTTGCTCTTTTCATGTCCATGATAGCAAGCTAGCTAGCCAGTGACAAGTGTGAGAGCCGTTGATATCATGGCATGTCCAGCTTGAATAGCCTACCAGTACGTTCTAATCAAAGACACAGGCAGTCTTGTCTGCACACTAAACACAGATACAGCCATGACAGGACAAGTGCCGACTGAAGAATTTAATTTACAATTTCTGTCCAGATTTCTGGGGAGGTCTGAGATAAGATAGTACACAGCCATGAGTTTAGGAATTGCTTCTGTAATAGGAAGACAGGGTTTTTTTTCTATCTTTGAAACTTAAGTTAAGATAAGACAAGCAGGATATTTTTTGTAATGAGGTTCCAAAAATTAATGAGTTAAATAAATAAAAACATGTGAAAAACAATGGCAGTATATTCTTGACTATTGGCAAGTATACAATAAAAAAGTGTGTTCTCCTTGTGTGAAGGAAAGTTTTTTTTGTTTTTTTTTTTCCCCCAAAATGATGACTGGAAGGTCATTTTATGTCACACTATGTTACAATGGTGAAATGAGAGGTGGCTCACACACTGCTGATGTCAATTTGGCAAATCTAACAGTTGCTCAGGGTGTGTCATTACATTAGAAAAAATCTGATGAGAGAATAAGTTACAGGATGTTACTCCACCACTTTGTTGCAACAGTGACGAGGCCACATTCAAGGTGACAGGCCCAGGGGTGTTGCCACCCTGATACAATTGCTGGCCCTCCCGCTAGCTCACATTACTGTCTTTTAGAGGCTAAAGCGTGCTAATGTTTTAAGCTAGCATAAAGATGGTAGTATCTTGTAAAGCTAGACAATCTAAGGCATTCGTTGGTACCAGCCGTGGGCAAAGCTTGTTGGGAAGGGGGCTAAATAACATTCCAAAGTGAAGTCAGTTTTGACAAGGGTACAACTAGCATGGCTATTTACAAAAGGGTCCCTTGAACTTACCTCAAAATATCTGAATGAGAATGGCCATGAATCTATGGGTACCCACAAGTCTCCTCTAAGCTTGAGAAGGCGTGTTCCAAGTAAATGTTTTGTTTCTTTCAATCAGTGTGCTCCCTCAAATTAAAGCTGTGTCCTACTGTATATCTGTCTTGTATAGATGACGTGCAGAGATACATAACACATTAAAACAGGATTGTTTAGAACTTAAAATGTTAACTGTACCTGTATTAGTCGATGCACATCAGATTGGCTAATTGGTATTATCAACTGTAATATAAGAAAGAAAGAAGTATATCAGCGTAGTTCCTTAACTCTCCATATTGACATATTGACATATTGACATAGGGGATGAGAAACTTATTGCAAACTATCACACCCACCCACACACCCACACACCCACACACACACACACACACACACACACACACACACAGGACTGTAGGTTTTTGGTAAGTGATGTCAGAGGTCAGCGAGTAAGATGAGGTGGAGTGAGTGAGTGTTTTGGGGTGAGTGTGTGTCAGAGATGTGGGACGGACAGTCTTGTGTGTATAAATACAGGACTGTGATGGACACCGAATGTGAAAAGAAGAGTGTAAAGACACTTGAGGACACTTGGAGCAATAACTGAGTAGACTTGAGCAAGAACAAATTCTACAATGGCCAACCACAACGGTAAGACTACCTATCTCTCTATCTATCTGTTTGTCTGTCTGTTTATTGTCTACATCTCTTGCTCCCTCTCTCTCTGCAGTCCGTATTACAAACTTTATGGGAAATTATGGCGTGTGTGAAAAATGTGCTGATGCATGACTCGTCACTTGGGCGCGATATGACCTATCCTAATTACAATACAAGTCTAGCTAGGACAGGGATCAGTCTTGGGTCAAGAATCAAGCTGATTGTACTAAAAAATTGTTGTCTCTGGTAGGTAACATTACGTCCATCCCCCCTTCAAACTTACAGTAATTTGAAGAATCACAGCTTTAGCATTACACAGAAGATTTAGAGTCCCACAGGCTCAGTTGAACAAGTCGAGAAACTCTTTTGTTCCTCAGTCTGTCAACCTATCCACTTTCCATAAAGTCTGGAGTGATTTGTAGTATCTGTAGTATGGTTTTGTTATTTGGTTGAATATTGTTTTCTTTTGTTGTAGTTATGTGTTGTTGTTTTTTTGTAATTATGTGCATTTATGTGAACCCTGAAATGCAAGACAAATTTCAGTTTTTTTCCCAGACAGTTAAGTTCATCTTAATCTTATCTCTTATGCTAAACTAAGATAGCCGTCTCCTGGCTGTAGCTTCATACTGTATTTACTCTACAGAGTATTAATCTCCTTATGTAACCCTCTGACTGATAGTGAAAGAGTGTATTTCTCAAAATTTTAAACTAGTTCAGCTTAGTCATCAAGTTGAACTTGTGACATGTGACCACAATTCACCTTTCTGTCAACTCTGAGTAAAGTCACAACAAGGTTAAACTCTGTCATCACTTTCAATATTACATTTAGCAACATCACAGCCAACCACAGACTGAGTTTGTTGCAGACTGATTGTTGAACTTTGTCTCTGTTAGGTTTGATCACTGATGTGGATCTGAGAAGTAATGAAAACAACTTGGCTCACCGCACCCAGGAGATTGACAGGAAGCGCCTGATTGTGCGCAGGGGTCAGCCCTTCTCCATCACTGTGCAGTGCTCTAAGTCTCTGCCCCCCAGACACCACCTGGAAGTGGTCCTGCACCTGGGTGAGTACAGTCTCACTTTGGTTTTGATAATAATCCAATGTAAACTCAATACAAGGAACAATAGTATAGTAGTAAGTAAGCACACTAAAAAGTACTGGATCAATTGTAATCCAGTTTAGTTCAATAGTAGTGTCTAGTACCATCGACCAAGTACTTGGCAAAAAAACAACTGGGTCACTAATCACACCCCAAAACAGTTATTTTGGCTCAGTTTTAGTTTTTTGTTTTTTTCCCCCAGCTTTCATAGGATGACCTATGACCTGACTGAGATACCCAAATGTATAGCTAAAAGAATATTGAACAGTTGTAGTTAAGTGAGGAGTTAGTCAGTCTTTGACCCAAACAACAGTGTTCCTGTGTAAACTAGCAGGTAAAACTCTTTATCTTGTCCTGATACTGTAATATACGAAAATGTATTTCCTTCATTTTTCTTATACAGGTCAAAAACATCTTTCTAAGACATCACGTTGATTTAGACAATACTTGTCTAATGATGGTGCGACAATCCATTTTATAAATTATACAAGTGTTTTTTATGTTTCTTCAGGTAAGAGAGATGAGGTGGTGATCAATGCTCAGAGGGAGCGTGGGGCCGGAGACAAATGGTGGTTTGACCAGCAGGAAGCGCAGAATAAAATGCTGCTGACTTTGCACAGTCCAGCGGATGCTATCATTGGCCACTACCGCTTGGCTGTGTCGGTAATGTCACCCGATGGACGCACTTTACAGAAGACCGGCAAAAGTGACTTCCACCTGCTCTTTAACCCGTGGTGCAAAGGTAAAACACAAAGCGCGGTGCACACACTCTCTGCAGTGAGCTTCCCCCAAGACTGACTGCATTCACATACTGCAGCTTTTAAAATGTATTATTTGTATTGTTTCAACAGAAAAAAAACAGAGTGGATGTGGTTTCTACATCATTTATATTCAGATGGGGTCTCTACCCTCAAATATTTAAACTATACGACAGGTCCACTGTCACCACTTTTCAACTACAGTGAATATTGATCATCAGCAGCATCATCAAAACATCAAATGATTGAAATTCTCACAGTGTCATGTTTTTCTAACTGAGGCCCTCGCACATTAAAAAAAAAAAAAAAATTCTTCTGTTTCCTGTGAATGTTTCACTCAGTGGGTGGAGTTTCTAATATGGCATCAGTTATTAGGAAACAAATCATATCAATGAGTGAACAGGATAGGATATAAGTGTACTCATGGTCTCATGGTCTGTGTGTGTGTGTGTGTGTGTGTGTGTGTGTGTGTGTGTGTGTGTGTGTGTGTACCAGATGATGTGGTGTACCTCCCTGACGAGAGTCTGCTCCGGGAGTATATAATGAATGAAGATGGAGTCATTTTCATGGGCACCTGGGATTACATCAGTAGTATCCACTGGAATTATGGACAGGTAACTCTCTGTCTGTCTCTCTGTCTCTCTGTCTCTCTCTCTCACACACACACACACTTACTCACACACAGACGTATGTGAATGACAGTATGTGCGCATCTGTCAGGCCAGTAGGTGGCCTGTGTGAATTGTCACAGCAGTGTGACAGCAGAGACTCGGATGCTTTGGCTGGATCAGGAAATCTGTCTGTTGGACGGAGGAAACTTCTGGGTGGGAGGTGTCAGAATGTAGCCAAACCACACAAACAAGGGCTTGTTCCTTCACAGCTCACTGGGAGGGCAGAGAGGAAGACAAACAGATAGATGACAGACAGATGGACAGACAGGAGGTGGTATAACAGACACACACATACACACACACAGAGCGAAGAATGGGAGACAACTGTGATTTGAAATCTGTAAAACAAATGGTTGAGAAACCTCCTGTTCAACAACTGTTCTTTTCTTTTCTTTGCTCCTCTCTCTCTCTATGTCTCTCAGTTTGAGGACTATGTGATGGACATCTGTTTTGAAGTCCTGGACAACTCCAATGATGCCCTGAGAAACTCAAAAAAGGACATGGAGCACAGATTTGACCCCGTCTATATCAGCAGGATAATCACTGCGATGGTGATGATCTCCTCTACTCTCTGCTGAAACAATACTGACAGTTTAACAACAGTACAAGAAAAAAAATGCATTCAGTTTCTTTGTCACAGTGATAGCATATGTGATACTAATAAGTGATTTATCAATATACAGTTCACGAAAGTGTTCATTTTCCGTGTTTAAACTTTTACTGTTTGATTGACAAATGATCTCTATACAGTCCTATACATATATATAGTAAGGGAGATACATTTCTTATATCCAAACCAGTGCTTCATGCAGTGATACACAGATTTAAAGATGTCTCAACGTGTTGTCTCCACCTATCCAGATTAACTCTGCAGGGGACAGGGGTGTATTGAAAGGTCGCTGGCATGAGCCGTATTCTGACGGAGTGGCACCATACAAATGGACCGGCAGCGTGCCAATCCTCCAAAAGTGGAGCAAGGCCGGGGCAGTGAAATATGGCCAGTGCTGGGTGTTTGCTGCCGTCGCCTGCACAGGTGAGGCTGTGACAGATTTCACTGTTACACGATTGAATAATCCTAAAGAGTAAGAGTAATTAAGATGAAAGAAAAACAAGTGTTTTCAGGAGTAATTGCTATTGATTGTACAGGCATCCTTTTGGAGGAATAATTTAACATTTTGATAAATACACTTCAGATAAAAACACTGATAACACTCTCTATACAGTAGATGTAGCTGCAACCAGCAGCCAGCTAATTCAGCTTAGCATAAAGTGTGTCCCCAATTCTCCAAAACTTTTAAAGAAACACTTTACCCACAGAGTGACTATTTGTATATGAATTACTTACCCTGTGCTATCTTAAATTTGTGAAGAAATTTTTGTTTTTCTCGCATGCCTCCATGGTAAATGGAGAATCCTAAAAAGTTGAACATTCTTCATGAATTGAAGTCATTGGGGACCACGTTTAACAACAGCAAAACTATGTCTCTAAGTCTCATTTATCCAGTTGTATGCTCAGTACTTCCCAGACACATGCATCTTTGCTAAAATGTTACAATGTAAAACACTTGAGCCTGCAAGGTTTTAGCGAAAATGCTTGTTTTTCAGAAGCACTGAGCATATGACTGGATGAATAACAGGGTTAAGCGGCATGAATCGTGTGATGGTTTGTAAACAGAAATTTTGATATACATAGTTTGCTGTTGTTAAATGTGGACCCTGATTCTCAGTTCACTGTGGAGATGTGAAAAAACAAATTCAAGGCAACAAGCTGTGAGTAATGGATACATTTAAATGATCATTTTTGGGTGGTGACATACTCCTTTAATATCATCAGTCTGAAGCCAATTTGTGGAGCCAAATTTTTAAAAAAAAAAACGGAGGAAGTAAAGGTAGGAAGTAGGTGGGAACAAAAGAACGAATTGTCTAAGTGTGATGTGTGTTATCTTTACAGTGCTGCGCTGTCTGGGAATCCCAACACGCCTCATCACCAACTTCTCTTCAGCCCATGATGTCGATGGAAACCTCTCTATAGACATCCTGCTGAATGAAAGACTGGAGAGCATTAACGGAAGAGACAGAGAAGACAGTAACTGGTCAGAACATATGCACACACACATGGAATTGAAATAAGATTTAGTGGAAGACATCACTTCAACTAATGTAACAAATGATTGCCTTCTCTCCTCTTCTTATGATTTTAGGAACTTCCATTGTTGGGTTGAGTCCTGGATGAGGAGAGTTGATCTCCCCAAAGGAAATGACGGCTGGCAGGTTTTGGACCCCACCCCGCAAGAACTGAGTGATGGTACATCCCTAATTTTTAGCCTAATCTCTGTTATTCACCTCTCTCTTGAACTTCCCTATCTATGGTTCACAAGACATTCTTTACCACCTTGAAAACTAAAAACAGTGTACATACCTGTCTATTGTTGTCTTTCTTCACTTTAACTGTTGGCTTTCTTTGGTTGCATATAATTGTGATAATCAAACTAAATTAGCTTTGTCAAAAAATCAGCTTTATTTCCTGTCACTGCATCAACAATCTAATGATGCAGGAAGTGTTTAAAAAGAAATCCATGACACCATGAATTTTTACTCTTCAGGTGAGTTTTGCTGTGGTCCATGTCCAGTGACAGCTGTCAAGGAAGGAAATCTGGGAGTAAAGTATGACGCTCCGTTTGTATTCGCTGAGGTGAACGCTGACATCATCCACTGGGTCATCCAGCGAGATGGCCAACGGAAGAAGGTAACTGACTCGTTTACATTTTTTCTTTCATATTTGCTTACATTAAAAAAGCATCTGTACTTCTGAAGAACAAATGATTTAAAAGATCCTATAAAAACAATGATTATTATTATTGTTATAGCTCAAAGTGGATCAGGCGGGTGTGGGAAGGAACATCAGCACCAAGAGTGTTTACGGGGACCAAAGAGAAGACGTCACTCTGCACTACAAATATCCTGAAGGTTAGTTGGAAACTACACAGAGGAGTTGATAGAATAGGATCAGTGATTGCACAAATTTACCTCCATAATACTGGAAAAAATTGCCTATAATCACGTTTATTTAGTTCTGTATATACAGCATTTACCAACAATATGTAGCCTCCTATTGTTTATTGTAAGTTGGTCTGTCACAATAATTATGTTCTTTACTTATATATGCCATTGCCTGCTGTGTTTACAAACGTGTTGGTTTACATATGAATAGTCTCTATATACAGACTCTACATTCAGTGAATGTAGCGTCTGTAGGTTTCTGGTTGTAGGCTGTTTGTAGTCCGCATGATATTGATCAATCACGTTTGAGACGACTGCAGTTGTTGCCAGGTTAAATGCTCCGTGTGGTGAACTAACGAGGCGAAACATAATCGGCATCACTGCAAACTCTGAATCCATCGCAATGGTTCAGTATATTTTCTTATATATATAAACGGAAGTCGGAAATGAAAATTTGTCTCCTCAAATCAAACTGGAATGCCAAAAAATTGGGGGTCTGCCCCCAGAGGCTGTATCGCCGTCTGCCGGAAGTCAGACATATAAATGTCAGCATTTTAGCCAAACATGATGCCAGAATAAGCAGTAGTGTTTTCCCAACCATTATAAGACTTGGGTGCAAGGATTCTCTCTTACTTTCTTTCCCCCCACCCTGCTCCACCTACTTATGCAAGTCCGAAAAAAAAAAAATAATAAAACAACACTTCTAAGACAACGCAGGTAGCCTGCAGCTGCACTTTTGGAGAGAAAGAAGTACAGTCCTGATAGCTGTTAGCTTGCCAACCTCTGGCAATTAGCCAAGAAGTCCACTGTTTGTGGTTTTCCCTCCAACAACTTCACACTCCACTCTGTCTTAGGCCGTCCTTCCCTGGGTACCGACTGCAGCACACTGGCCGGGTTATGGGGGCAACTGCGGTGTTCCCGGAGCTTTGCTAACTTTGTCTATTAGTAGCAAAAGGCATCACTTGGTTTTGTTTTTGTTGGCCAAATTTAGTATTAAACAAACTGA